GAGTTACATAAGCACAGAATTTCAGCATGTAAAGTAGGATGTCTACTGTCATGTCGGACATTAGAGATGAATGTGTGTTTGATGAAACTCGTTGTAAAGACTGGAAAAGCTGAGTGGAGGTGAAGCTCAGCATCTGTCCTCTAAAGGTCCTTACACACTGGGGCCGACATGAATATATGACGCTATATAGGAAGCGAGAAGACAAAAATGGAGTCTACTTCATCTCAAGTGATGGTGAATTGGTACTTCTTTTGCTTTCTCAAAAGAAAAAGAAACTGTTCAAGAGCTGAAACTGGACCATGGTCGCTTCAGAACCTTTATTCGGATGTCCGTTGGACAATTTGAAGTTCTGCTGAAACAATTAGCTCCAAGTTTGAAGAGATAGAGGACTAGACACTAGACACTAGTGTTGAGATGTCTGTCTGCCATGATAGCATGTACTGAGTCGAGGCCAGTAACAGATAAGCACATGAAACTATGGTAACAACCGTTAGCTTAGGTTAGCACAGATGAAAGTTAAAACAAAGACGTTTATCAAACTGTTAAAGCTCACAAAACATCGTCATATGAGAAATCCAACGCTATGACTCTCTACAAGTTGTCCTTCAGGTCGTTATCTTTGTTATCTGTTCTCCGACACGTAAACAATCAGCCGGTCGGCCATGTTGGATATACCGGTGAATCTGACGTCGCAACAACACGCAATCTGATTGGTCAGAAGTGGACACACAGTATGCAAAACTTTAGAAAAATCGACCGTGATCCGAAAAAATAAATGCTGCGATATCACAGGACGGGAAAATGTTGCTGATGTGAACGCTTGTATTGACAGGATACGGGTTGTAAAAAAATACTGACGTCCACGACAAAAACGGTCCCGGTGTGAAAAGACCTTAACATTTACCCTTTTTTCCTGGACTGTAAGAACGTAGAAAAAGTGGATCAAATCGTGTTGTAGACCTGCATTCTCTAAAAGGCCACCAGGGGGCAAGTCGACAAGAAGACCCGCTCTTCATTTTGTACTGCAGTTAAGATCGGATCTAGTTTTATGTAGATTCTCAGTTTTATTACTGAGGTCCTTGTAGAGTAAAATTGAAGATAAACTGAGGTATGTTTTTTTATTTTTTTTTTTACTGTTCCTATAAAGTTATGTTCACTCGTCCAAACGTCTGCACATATCCACGGTCATTTGCATATATATACAGTCCACTGCTGCTGACCCTGGGGAGATGAATACATGAGAGCGTAGATGAAATGTTCCTCCGGGGAGTTCAGGTGCGTGTTTCCTGCTGATTGTGTCCTTGAAAAGGAGAAGTGAGATTGGTCCTGTCGTTCACTGATGAGCGTCTAACAGCCCTCGCTGTTTTCAATCACGTAAAAGCTTCATTCTCTCCTCCTTGTTCTCTCTCCTGGGGTGAATTTTAGGGATAACAGATTAATCATGTTCTTACATTCTTAATAAAGCTCTTTAAATGTTTGAAGTAAAGTCTCTGTGAAAGTCTTTATGGCCTGAACTCAGTTATTGTGCGTAAAGCGTGCATACACTTCTGTTGTTTCTGCAGAGTGATTATTGGTAATGATCAAACGTTTATTTCTGGTGTGATATTGGCTTCATGCTAGTCTGGGTACTCAAAACGAAACCTTTGTCCTGTGAGGCAACAACACTAACACCACACCACCTTACAGCCTCTACTAAAGTACAGCTCTCAGCTCCAGGAAGCACAGTCTCCTTTAGCTCTAAATCTAGTCCGAGGAATAATCGGCAAACTTTAGAGTCCTGCTGGAGTCATGTGACGTTAGCAACTCTCCTGTATAAACTGTAGTTTGACCCTGCAACACTATGCTCAGCGCTAAAACCTGAGGATGGGTGAGACATGAAACCGTCTAAATGATGTTAGCTGCAGTATTTTGCAGGCAGTGAAGAGGTAATGACAAGAATCTAACTTTGAGATAAAAGCATTAGCGCTCTACGGAGAGGTCTTATATATATTTTTTATTATTGTTTTGAGATTAAAGTCAAAATTATGAGAAAAAAGAATTATAACATTGAAGTCAGAATCAGGAGAAAAAGTCAAAATAGCTAGATTAAAGTCAGAATATCTGAGAAAAAAAGTCAGAATTTTGAGATTAGAGTCAAAATTATGAGAAAAAAAGTTAGAATTACGATATTAAAGTCAGAATTATGAGCAAAAGTCAAAATACCAAGTCTAAAGTCAGAGTTCTGAGATCACAGTCAGAATTCCGAGAAAAACATCACAAATATGAGAAAAAATCAAGATTTGGAGAATTCAGAATTAGGAGATTAAAGTCCGAATTCGGAGAAAAAAGTCAGAATTTTGAGATGAAAGTCAAAATTCTGACATTTCTTCTCAGAATGATATTTAAAAAAAAATTATCAGACCCTTTTTTTTTAAACTATTCCAGAGGCCCTAATCCTCTTCCGTAGCAGTCATCTCAGACTCAGCCCTGGACACTATGATGAGTTTGGGCGTCAGAAAACCAAACCTCATCCTGATTTAGGTTCTCGCTCAGTAAATGGACGCTGAAATTAGAACATCTCGCTGTCAAATACTGAAACACGGCGGTGCAAGAAAGACAGAACACCAACTTCTTTGTCGATGTCAAAGACTCTTTACAACAGCTTTAAGTTCAGGTGACGATGCACTTATTTCTGTTCTGGCAAATGCAACAACAACAAAAGAAAATCCCCCTACTGCACCTTTAAGAGGCATAAAAAGCACAGCTGTTGTTTTTTAAATTCAGTTTACGTAGGGACAGGTGTGCCAGTGACTGCATGTCTCCAGATTATCAGGACACGCTGGAGAAATGACCTCCCCTCTGATGTGGCAGGTCTTAAATGTCACGCTGACTCTGACGTAGAGAAGGTCTGCTGCTCTGAAGTCTCTGTGTGTTTTATTGTGCAGATATGACCAGGAGAAGCTCAGCTACGCCGCTCAGATAAGCACAACTGTCCCCTTAATGTAAACACTCTCACACACGATCTGTGCTTCTTTGCATAATGAGGGAAATGCTTGAAAACGCTGAGCAGGATAAACCGAAGAGACGCTGCTCTGTTGAGATGCAGGGCCGACTATTCAGACGAGGCTGTTGAGTGCAGGCCCCCCGGGCATATGTGAGCACAACACAGCACTCCTTACGAGTGTAGAGGTCATCCGCAGAGCTGATCACAGCGAGACGGAGGGGGAACACAGTGGACAGCATGATCAAAAGCATCCTAAAGAAGACAAATATCCACCAAGACATGGTTCGGAAGAAAAAAAGCAAGCTGGGAAAGAGGAAGAGCTGAGGAGACCTACACTTTAAAGCCAAAAATCCTGCTGTGCATTCAGATCACGTGAAGTTGTAGCCCACATAGTGCTGGACTGATCAAAACGAGGCTAGTGTGACACTGAAGCACACTTCAAAGCCCGCAGAGCCGCGTTTTGTTGCACCCTAAGTGTAACAGACATTTCAGATCACAGCAAGGTTATGAATCTGTCTTCAAGCTTTTGATGTTCGCTAGTTCATTTCCTGGTTGTTGTGCTATGTTACATGCCAGCTGCATTCAAGATGGCTACAAGATCTGGAAGGTGAGACGTCAGAAACAATGGATGCAAACTCTAATACCGCTCTGATTTCACTCTGTGGCATCAGATCTGGTTTTGTTTTTTTCATATTAAATAAAAATACGCACGTCTGTTTCACTCAGTTTTTGACTCTGAGGGCCTGGTGGCTCTCAGAGGACATGAGTGTGTGAATCTGAGTGTTTCCATCAACAACCTGGAGTGTACAGGGGTTATACGGGGTGTAAAAGAAGATTAAATAAAAGAAACAACAGGGGACCAAGAAGGGATCCCTGAGGAACACCACAGTCAATCAACAGCAGGAGTTTTATATACGCTTTACCATCAATTATTGCTCTCCATGACGACAAAACCTAAAAGTATGAGCTAACTGAGGGATTTTTTTTCATCCTGTCAAATAACGGATGTGTGTAGTTGAGTGTTATTAGGGTATATAATCATAATTTTGAGTGTTAGGGAGTGATATAGTGTAAGAGGAGCTTATGCAAATGAAACAACATGGGACCGAGAATTGATCCCTGAGGAACACCACAGTCAGCCAACGGCAGTTTTACCTGCAGAGAAATGTTATCGTGAGAGGAAATGTACTTAATAAGACAACCGTTATAAAAAACAACAAATTGTGGCTGACATTATCCGTGGAAAACAGATAATGTCAGCCACAGTTTGATCTTAGCTGCAGTATTTTGAAGGCAGTGCAGAGTTAATGACAACAATCTAACTTTGAGACAAAAGCATAAGCGCTCTATGGAAGAGGATTAGGGCCACTGGGGAAAAAAAAGAGAGGTCTTATATATTTTTTTATAATTATTTTGAGATTAAAGTCAGACTTCTGAGAAAAAAGTCAGAATTCTGAGATCAAAGTCAGAATTCTCAGATTAGTCATAATTTTGAGATTAAAGTCAATATTATGAGAAAAAAGTTAGAATTATAACATTAAAGTCAGATTCAGGAGAAAAAGTCAAAATAGCAAGATTTAAGTCAGAATTTTGAATTTAAAAAAGTTTTTAAAAAAATCAGAATTTTGAGATTAAGACAAAATTCTGAGAAAAAAGTTGGAATTATGAAAATGAAGTCTGAATTATGAGAAAAGACCAAAATACTGAGATTGAAGTCAGACTTCTGAGAAAATCATCGGAATTCAGAAAAAAAGTCGGAATTCTGAGAAAAAAGTCTGAATTTTAAGATTAAAGTCAAAATTATGAGAAAAAAGTCTGAATTATGACATTTAAGGATTTTCCTTCTTGTGGTTTTTGGGAATGTTTCAGTTCGACATCTTAAGTTAAGTTTTTGTTGCTTTTTAAATTAATCTTTTTTCGTCCTTCATTTTGGTCTTTTTCTTTGTTTAAACCTGACAGGACCTGACAGGTATCTAAGTAAAAAAAAGTGCGCCCATTTCTTAGTAAAAACATATTCAGTTTGTAGAATGTAGGATATGTTTTTATTACACCGTTGGGATTTACAAAACATCAAAACCAGTAGAAATGACCGAGCAGTAAAAATAAAAAAGACATCAAATCCTATCAGGACTCTTTTTAAGTGAAGTTTCTGCACAGTGCAATCTGTTTTTGTCTTTTCATTTAGAATTTAGGAGAGGCAGCAACACTTAGAAACTAAAAACTAAAATGTTGTTTATTAGAAAGTCAACATTTCCCTCAGCCAAAAAAAACAAACAATTAAACTTCCTTCACCATCCTTCAAAAACCGTCTCATTAGTGAGAGAGCGGTTTAATACAACAGTGCTATTAACGAGCGAACTGGAAAATAGTTATTTACAAAAATACTGATGTTACAATTATCATAAAAAAGCAAATATGAAATTTGGGGATATATTAACCTGAATAAAGTCTTTTTTTCTCACTATGAAAAATGTAAATAAAGCTTTTACAGATTTTTTTATCAACAGGAACCTGCAGAATAACTATATCAAAGTGCAAAATGCCAAAATATGTTGGTGATTGTCAATTTTTTTTTTTTTTTTAGTGCAAATTCATTCATTAAACAGTGTCAGTTTTTGCTGTTTCTTCCTGTAACATCACAGAAATATTGTCGATATAAATTATTAAATTCCCAGCACCAGGGCGAACAAACAATCAACAAAGAAATAGAACATGTTTTAAATGTCCGTATGTGTTCGTCCACACATTTATAACGAACCAGCAAATCAAGAAAGTTTAAAGAAATGATAATAAAGTGCTCCCTCAGCAATAGAGGTACATGCTGGTGTTCTGATACAGGTACATGTAGGCGTCACAGAACAGGCGTTTGGCCACACCCTTCATGTCTCGAGGCACCTGATTGGCCAGCTCAGAGGGGGACATTTCCAGGTACATGCCGACCTCAGGGCAGGCCTGGACCTCTGGGATGTTGAAGCCGTCTCTCTCGCCTGGAGAAAAAACGACAAATGAGCTGAAGTAGTCTGAGATAAGAGGAGTGTGGACTGAGACGACGAAGGACGGCTCACCTTCTCTGTCCGCCATGCTGTCAAAGAAGATCCAGTCCTGGTTGTTTGGTCCGTGTTTGATGAAGGACACGTAGTGGCTCGTCTCGATGCAGAGCACGGCGAACAGCTCCAGTTTGTCTCTGGTCAGGGTGTGAGGTGTGCCCTGACTCAGGTAACCCTTAGGGATGTCGACATCGACTGGTTTGTGGGACCGGCGTTGAGGATGAGAGTGAACCTGCAGAGTTGGGTTGAAGTTCTTAGATATCTGGTGGTTTCTCCCAAGTTTTTTTATATTTAGAGTCTAACTAAACGGACTCATGCTAAAAAATACATGCATAATAATGACTCAGATGTAGAGAAACAAACAGCACCTGACTGGAGCAGGTCCTGCAGAAGACTTTGAATCCAGTCTGGCTGAAAACAGGATCTTCAAAACAGTCTTTGCACTCTTCCTGAGCCAGGCCTCCACACAGCATGCACGTCTGAAGGCCTGAAACACACAAACAACACATGTTGCACTCAGTGTTAACTCATGCTGCTCTGTGTTATATCCATATATACGTGTGTGTGTGTGTGCATTACCTTCGGAGAGGAGGGCAGTGATGTCCAGCTCCAGAGAGGGAATGATTTTGTCGAACATTTTGAATTTCTTCCCAAAGCGAGGCATCTGGAGGATGAGGCAGGATGGAGCCTGGAATCATCAGATGATGAAATGAAAGAGTCAGAAAAATAATCTAATCCAGAGGCTGAAACACTCAGTGATGGCGCCATCCAGAGCAGTGGATTAAACAATGGTTTAACAATGAACAGTGGTTTAATCCACTGCTCTGGCGCCATCTACTGGAGGATTACAGAAAGCTTCACTCCCCTGAATAACTGCACATGCTGTTGAAAGTTCTGAGAATTAAAACTAAGACTGACTTGTTTAGTGAGCTCTCTGGGATTACAGACTAATGTTAAAATATTATAAGAAGATTTTTTATAGTAACATATTAATTATATGTTATAATGCATTATAATTATAAATTCAAGATGAAATGATTTCAGCTTAATGTGCTAAAAAGAAAACCTGCAAATGAATTAAGGTAGGGCGTTAGAGGGGTTTGGGTAATTATTATAACTTTTAAAAGGTCTGAATTTCTCCACTTTAGGTTTATCCTTTTAAATGATGATCGCATCAAGAAGAAATGAAACTGTTATTGTCCCCGTGGAGAATCTGCTCTGCACCAAAAGCATAAAAACATCCAGACGAAGCCATCATCTGTTTACGGTTTATTTGTTCAGGACGGATATTTAAAGATAAACTGGGACTGTCCATCTGATGCATCTCAAAGTGTTTATGGATGTGAATCCTTAAAAGGACTTCTGCGTCAATAAAAGACTGAATGTTTTGAGGAATGAAACTTTACAGTCGTCACTTGAGGCTGTGTTGGCGGCTCTGCGGTCTCTTTATACGTGTGCAGAAAGGCGAAGGAGCGAGTCCATATGAGGATTTAACCACAACAATAACACAGTCATTAAAAAGTACATTATTAGAGTACTGCATGGTGATTTAAGAGAAGATAAGATACTCCTTTATAAGTCCCACAACAAGAAATACAAAGAACTTGAAGAGCCGAGTTCAGTTCAGGACCTTTTGAGGAACTTTCAACAGTAAGAACCAGGATCTATGATTTCAAAAAACGTCTGTAAAACAACTTTTGGGTTTGACCAAACAGGAAGACATTAAAAAAGTTGAATCATCATGACTGCAAATGAACAAAAACCACAGGCTTACCTCTGCCAGCTTGAGTCCTGCGCTGCGAAACGAGTGCTCCAGCAGCTGCTGGACTGTCGGCAGCACCAGGCTGTGGTTCTGGTCCAAGAAAATCTGATAGCAGTAACTATCCTGCACTTTGCTCCCAGCCGAGCTCCTACAGAGACGGAGAGAAGTATGAAAGGTGATTGTACGTCTATGCTAAGCTCTGGGAAAGAGGTATATATACGCTGTGATGGTGTAAACGTACAGTTTGAGCAGAGGGTCCAGAGCAAGAATGTGGTGCATGATGACGGTGAGGAACTCCTCTGGATCTGCAGGACAACAGCGGCAGCAGCAGTCATTTTAGACACCAGTGTTTCTCTTTTAAACTCTGAGCTTTTTTAATTTAAGACCTTTAGGCAAAAGTGCTGCTGGAGATTAAAAAAACAACATCCTTAAAAACATTGTAACTGCCCTTTAAACGTACCCTTCTCGTCTGTGGTGAAGGAGTGACTGTAGCCGTGATTCTGCAGCTGCTGCCTCAGCTTCATGACGTGCCGCCCCTCCACAAAGCCCCTCCTGCCAGAACATACACAAAATAAAATACAGAGAGTTATATAATATAGAAACTACCACACAAACCTGAAACAGAGACGCACACACCTGCGGAGGGGGTTGACGATATCATAAAGCAGAGTATTCTGAATCGGGGCGTCCTGAGGTTCTGTAGATTTGAACAGCATGGAGTCCAGAACAGAGGAGCAGGAAAACAAGCTGAGAACACAAACAGACGTTACCACACGCATGAAATATGAAAATCTGTCTGAATTAACGCGGCTAGACTTCAGTTCATGATCCCGACCTGAAGAGGGCAGCATCCATGTAGCAGGAGTTGCAGTGGCCTTGGATCCCCTTCATTCGTCCAATCAGAATCTGGTTCACCTGCTCCGTGCTGATCGGAGGGATAGGAATCTCCGACTTTTGTGTGTCGCGCTCCATCTCTGCCTCTACACACAGGAACAGTTATTCATGTATTCACACAGGCCTCCTCCACAAAAACACGACATCATGTATTGGTCTGACACTGTTCGTCATGCTTGGCCTGTTTGTTCAGTACAGCAAAGACAGCTGTTTAAAGGAACAGTCTGTAAGTTTTTTTCAGATGGTTAGTTTTCACTGATCTGCAGTCAGCTCAGACTTCAGTGAAACTATGACGTGTCTAATGATCACATGGAGGTGCAGGGAGAGGGTGGAGGGGCAGTTCACTCTGCTGCCGTCTCTTTACCAACTCAACGTAGATTTTCCCTAAACAACGGCACAAATTAAGGCGTTACTTGGGAGCAAACCGAAATGAGTTGATAAATCTCATCCCTACCCGTGTTCCCCATATTTGAACTCCTCTTGCTGTGATTGGCTGCTGGGCACTGAAACCGTGAGTCAGGGCGGCAGGAGCTGAACTTCACAAACAGAGCTCTCTTGGGAGGGCATCGAAAGAAACGCTCATTTTTGAAGGTGCCGTCACTCACTCCTTTTTCCTCCTCCTGTAGATGGATAAATGAAGAAGAATCAAGTTTTTAATTTTAAGATCAATAATAAATTGAAGGAACAACTTCAAAATGTAATCTGACCCAAAAAAGTCAGCTGATTGGTTCTTAATATTGTTCATGTCCTGATTTCCTCATGCCCCCCCCCCCCCCCCCCCAAACATTACCAGCTCTAGTCCGGCCATGGTCTCAGGTCGTTCAGGTAGGTTGCCGATCCAGCGGATGATCCCATATAAATTCCCTGTGGTCACAGAAACCTCGACCAGAGAGTCGAGGCTCAGATCCGAGTAGAGATCCTCCCCATCAGTGGGTGCTTCCACTGGAGGTGTGTCGACATCCATGCTCTCTACTGCAAGAGGAAAACACCTGTAGGTCAGATCTGTAGGAAATACAGATCTAGGGCTTCACTCTTCATTATTTAAAGAAACGCTCAAACCTGCAGACACCTCCCCCTTTGCAACACAATGCATAGGAACCTCGATTTCACCCCCTCGCTTCCCGTTCTCATCTGTTTCCTGAAAACAGGAAAAAAAGAAAAACTCTGTCCTGAAGGATGGGACTCCCTGATGGATAAGTCACTTCTACAGTGACCCAACAACAGAAGTTACAAAGAATATTTCATCCTACTGGAAACTCTTGTGTTTAGCTGATTTTTAACTGAACCAGAAATATGACTTACCGTGGAGATCCTGACAACAAGTTCTTCACCATGCTGCTTCATGTCCACCACCATCCCGTGGTGGCTGTTGTCATCGACGAAGTAAGTGACTCTGTCCCCTATGTTGAGCTTCTCTTCTGTTTCTGCATGAGAGGAGGACTGAAGGATGGATGGTGAGCTGGGCTCGGCTGGCCTGACTCTGGAGAACGGTGCAAAAACACCACAATCTTTTGGACAGGTGAAGAGTTTTCTGTAACTGAAGGTTCCACCAGTTTTCCCCTTTCCTCTGTCTGCTCCCTGTGAGGACGAGAAGCACAGCAGCACCTTTGAATAAAGGCTACCCGCTAATCATAAAACAACATTTATATTCCTTTAAATGACAAAAGTTCAAAACCCCAAACTCTTTTTGTGTGGACAGTTTTCAGTGTGGTAAAATGAGTCTTTAAAAGGCTCTCACCTGCAGCTCAATGCCAAAGAAAGTTCCTGAGATTGGAGAGGAGCAAGTGTATGCAATTTCACCGATGTAGCGGATGATTCCTTTGAGCTGCTCTCCGTCTTCATCCACAATCACCGCTGTGCCCTCAGTGAGTGTCAGTGCTGTCTGAAGAGCGTTTCTCTTCTTGAACCAATTCAGCCTCTCTGGGTCCTCAGGAAGAGCCAGCAGAAACCTGGCTTCCTCCTCACTCAGCTCCTCCATCATATTCACATCTATATCATAATCTAACGATGCTAGTGAGCCTACAAACCTGACCGCAAACTTAGCAGCAGGTGATCTTTCGAGTGTTGATTTGTGTTTGTATGCAGTCATGTAGCATATGGATCCAGGATTAAGGTGGCTTGGGTGTTCAAGTTTTCTCAGTAAGATGAAGTACTTGTATCGTAATGATGACATCTTGCTCAGTAGATGAAGAATATCAGGATCCTGCTGAGAAACACACAAATACAGCACACAACGAGGTTGTCATGGTAGTGACAAGAAGTCGAGACTTATCTAGTCCCACACTGTCTCCAACACTAATGGCTTAAATATACATCCTAATATTATATAAGAATATTAATCATCATAATAATAGCAATAAAAATAACCACCACAGTGAAAATAACACAAAAAAAGATGATAATGATAACAGTTAATATGATAGTACATCCCTGTATCCCGTGAAAACATATTCTTTACATTGTGTTTTAAATTGTTTTATGCTTGGACATTGTTTTATCGTTAACTACCTCAGCGGACTTCAGGAAATCAGTATGTCCACACAAGGCCTCCGTACAAACCGGGATCCAAATAAATATCAAACCAAAACTAAAACAAATAAAAAAGAAAACTAATTAAACATTCACAACTTTTGTCAGCTATAAACTAAACACGAAGAGACATCAAATGAGCAAAAACTAATGTTACTAACATGATAATTTAGAGTTTAAATGACAGCAACAAAACTAACGAGCGAACTTTACAAACAAACTAACTAACTGTTAGACAGTAAAGAGAGAAAAACTTCAATATAACCGCTTTGGTCTTCAATATTACAGCCTTTTCTTGATCATTGGAGACATAGCCAGAGTTAGATAGTTACCTTTACTTGTAGAGAAACTTGAAACGTTTGTTTCGGTTGAATCTTGACTTGTTATGGCTTCTTCTGCTGTGTAAACTGCTTTAACTTTCACTTCCTCTTTCGTTTCAGCTCAGAGAAGAGGCGTCATCGCTGTTCCTGTAACTCTCCGCTGAAGGAAAATAAGATTTAGATTTACAAACACACGCACTTATCGGTTCTTCATAATATACTGTTACTACAAACGTCCTTTACACTAAAACGGACAAAACCGCCGACTCTAACAGTTTGTTTTCAAATGACTTGACAGTTACCTGCGAGTCTAGTGGCATGGGTAATTTTGACCCTCAGTATGGTCTTACAGGCAAGTATGACGCCCCTGGTAAGTCACCCCCGGTCCCCTCTTATGTTTTGTTATCAATACAGGGGCCTCATTTGTCGTCCAAATGTACCAAATGTAATTTTTCTGTTCATTTTGAGCATCGATACCTCGCATTAGAGACATCAAAACTCGTTTTTTATGAAATACTAAGATAAAAAATTACACACATTTACAATGAACAGCAGTTTTTACTTGAAAAATACAAGTATTAGCACTAGCAGAAAATACAGTTGTAGTCAATTAAAAAAAAGTGGAATGGAATGGGATACAGTAGTTCTTGCAAACCTTAGAAGAAGCTTCAGCCTGTAAGACAAAACTGAAGGCTCAAGTATAGCGTTCTGTGATTGGACAGTACTTCTACGACATCTCAAAGGGCCTGCTTTTTTCGTCGACAAAAGATGACGGAGCGGTTAAACTGTAAACATGGAGGAGAGAGAAGCGCTGAAGAGGCAGATCGAGCTCCTACAGAGTAAGAATTCGACTCTAAATGTCGTTTAAATGTTCGGAAACAGGCGGGTTTGATGGAAAAATGTAGCTGCTGTGCCTTAGATGTTGAAAACGGTCGTGTTCCGAGGCGCGCGCTTCACTTTTTCAAATGTAGTCGACCGTTAGCCGTTAGCTTCAAATCAAAACACCGACACTCACCTGTCCGTGAAAAGACGTCTGTACTTCTGTCTGTACTCTGTTTATTATATCTTTTACAGAGGAAAGTATCTAATACTCTCTGTTTTAAAGTCTAATCAGAATTAAATGATGTTTAACTGTATTTTTAAAGCTGTCAACAGGTTATTATGTCAGCCCTGACTGACTCACCTGTTTGTTGTCTTGACAACAGAACTAGACTGCACACTTTGTGATTTATTAAACCGCAGAAACCTTATGATGATTTCACCAACACATGTGTTTGTTCATGTTTCTGTCCCTGCTTATAATCTGTCCGTAAAAATGAATAAATAAAAACAATAAAAGCAATAAAAAAAGAATAAAATAGAGTGCAATAAAATAAAGTGCCACCATGCTACTGTGTATTAAAAGCCAGCATAAATAAGTACGTTTTCAATAAATCAAATCTCAATCTCAATCTAGAATTGAAAAGGCCCAGGTCAGAAAAAAGTCTCATATAGGTGGGGAGTTTATTCCAGAGCCTGGGACTAAAATAGCTCGGTCACCCTGTCAGTGTTTGGGTTTTGACCTGAGCACCTCCAGCAGAAGTTGGTTTGACGACCTCAGAGCTTTACCCAGCTCCCAAACAGTTAAATGCTCAGTTAAATAGATGTGGGCGAGGCCGTTAAGAGCTTTAAAAACAAACATTAAAAGTTTAAAATCAATCCTAAAAGAGACAGGAAGACAATGAAGAGAGCTAAGGACAGGAGTGACGTGCTCATTTCTGTTAGTGTTGGTTAAAAGACGGGCAGCAGCATTTTGCATAAGTTGATGGAGACTAAGAGATGATTGGGAGATGCCAATATAAAGTGCATTACAATAGTCCAATCTTGAACTGATTAGAGCCTGGATGGATATCTCAAGGTTGTGACAGCTTAAAATCAAAACAGTTGTTATTTATTTCACAGAGTAGGTTTTATTTGTATGTTTACTAATTCTTATTATATTGATACTCAATACAAGTTCTGAATTTCCAGATCTCATCAATACACATAAGAGTGTCCATGGCGATGTCCCGTTTTCAAGAGCAGAGCAGAGGCCCCCCGGAGCTTCAACACTGGCGAGAGGCAGAGGTGTTGGTTCATCTGTTGTCCATCCTCACAGCTCCAGAGGGATAGTGTACGATCCTCAGAGCCGGGGAAGCTGGAGGAAGACGTACTCACTGAGTAACAAAACCCCTCAGACCTCTGTTGGACATCCCTCAGCTTCTACTTCCTCTTCTGGTCATCAGTCCAGCTCTACCGGTGCCCCTCACAGCACTCCACAGCCCGGCCACAGCAGAGAGGAGGAAACGGATGGAGCCAGAATCATGGCGTCGTCATCTGACAGAAATTCAGGGTTAAGTGCAGCTACAACGGAAGAGCGAAAGACATCAACTCTGAGGAAAACAACTGGATCCCAGCATGAAGGTGAGAAACCAGGATCAGGATCCACAGGTGTGGAGAAACTTCACAGACAGACTCAAGAATCCCAGCAGAAGCCTCATCATAGGCTTGTAGTCCTGCCATCATCAGAGAAGAAAATCAGTGTTCCATCTTCAGCCCAGGCCAATACCTCAACCAGTCTGCATAAAAGCCCCCCGAAGCCTCTCCTATCAAGTAAAACCAGCATGGAGGCGAAGAAGACCACTACTTTTAAAGCCCCAGTAGCTCTGCCGACTGGTCATAACGTTCTACCTCTTTCCAAAACATCCAAACAGCCTTCGGTCAAACCCACGCCTCACCCCAGCCACTGCCAAGCTGCTGCATCTTCGTTAAAACAGTCCAAGTTCACCTGGGTGAAGAGTCAGAACGTGGGTAAGACCGAGCCTAAACAAGCTAGTCCAGTTCCTACTGTTTCCACGACTTTACTCTCTAAAGCTGGGGTTGTAGGTGGAAGTGCCTCCTCATCTTTAACCAGTAAAAGAACTCCCGCAAAGAAGTTGACTCGTAAACTAAGCCCAGTTACTGTAGCCTCAAAGACCTCCAAGTACAGGTGGGTGTCGTCCTCTGTTGGAGCCGTAGCTAAAATACCCAGAAAATCCCCGTCTCCTAAAGCCCTGGTTCTTTCTCAAAGAGCTCTGGAAAAGGGAGAGCCCACCAAGAAGGTCAAATCACCCTCAACTCCTTTCTCCAAGTTGAAAAAGGGAAATGCAAGTTCTTCCTCAAACTCCTCCACAAGTAGTCGTTACCGCTGGAAGGCAGGAGGTCAGAGTTCTCCTGGAGCAGCAGCAGCAGGGGCTGCAACAGCGACACGTCGTAAATCTGCTTTCCACTGGACATCAGACAGAAGCTACAGAAGTGCGAAAGGAGGGTTTGTGTCGCCACCATCCCAGCGGACCTCCCTCACACCCTCTCCTGGAGGATTCAAGCTCCGCAGCAGGATGAAAATCATCAGGAAGACCACTCCAGGGTAAGTCGTGGAAATGTCTGATTTTATCTCCTTTTAAAGGCTTGTTATAGTTTAGATTTATTATTATCTTTGTGGCCAGAAGGTGGCAGCAGAGTCTGGCAGACTGTTTGTGTCGAGCTGAATGCAGCAAAGATCCATCAGTATCACTTACCTGTTTGGAGCGTCTTATGTGTCATTGATTAAACCTTTACCCTCTGTCCTGTGACCTCAGGGGAGGAGGGTCAGAGAAGGGGTCCAGTCCATCAGCAGTGAAGTTCTCCCCCAGGGCCCGTATTCACAGCTTCACCAGGACTCCCACAGGAGTGAAAAGAACCCCCTCCAAGGAGCTCGTGTCTTTTGGCAGACACAAGTTGAGGCGGCTGTCTCCAACTTCATCAAGAACAAGTAAAAAGTTCACTTAATAAATCTCAGTTTCATTTAGAGCATTTATTCCACACAGTAATCAAAGTCCTCCCTATATTCATGGTTCATTGTGGGGAAAATATCAATAATATCCAGGAGTGGCTGTGCGTTCTGGGTTTCAGCTCACACTCTTACACTCTCTTTGTTCCGCTGCTGTAAATAATAGAAAACTTTCATTTTCCTCAAAGTTTTAATCGCAGCTCATTTTTGTTTCCTCTACAGAGTGTATTTTTCAGCTGCTCATCTGATATCTTAAACACAAACCAGTATGTTTTGTTTCAGCCGTCCAGCCTCTCTATTTCTATTTCTATTTATTCATTTTAAAAATGGGAACAGTACATATTGATAAACATTTACATACGGGATCATAACCAAATGGCTAATTTCCATCCCCAGTCTCATCGGCAGGTTAATGTTAAACATAAAAGCAATAATGTTAAAAGTACAAACAACATGACTAAGACAGTAAAACACTGACAACATACACATAATATACAGAAACAACGTACACAGACCAAGAACTAAGTGACCAATAGTAAGGGGACCAAAAAGATTGAAGTGCTAATTAAAGTGTCATGTGCTAAAGGTGTTTAAAGTGCCGTTTCCTACCGTACAGCTTGTTAAAGTGACGAGTGCATAAGTACAAAATTACATTGAATTGCACAATGCCCATAGCACACGATTGCACCTGCAGATGTGTGTCTAAAATTATGTATACCCTTTCGTAACAAACTTGCATACATGATGAGAATATGTACGCCAGGACAAATTTAGAGTGGTACCCCAAAGCAATTAACCAATTAGACAAACAATTTCAGACATGATTATGATGGCAGGTCTGGTTTTCCAACAGCCGTGACTGGAGATGTTTAGTAAAAGAGGTGAGGGTTGGGAGTTCAAAATCAGCTTCGACTTTTTGTAAAAACTTCTGCCCTACTAATTTCTCATGTAAGGGATCAATGTTCAGTTGATCTTAAAAGCAGCACACTCAAAAATCAGGTATCATATTTTCTAGATATTTTGGTGTTGACATACTGCACACCTTACACCTATAAAACCTGGTTTATATTTTAGAGTTTGGACGAAACATTTGAGTGATTGTTCTGAAGGCTGCAGCTCCAACAGCTGTGTTTACAGTCACGTCCAGTAGAGGGCAGCAGCTCACATCCGTGTAGGTCCGTGTATGGTCTTTGTGTTGCAGGCTGTCACTGGAGAGGCTTACAGGCAGACCATAAGAGGAGGAGGGGGAGGTTAATTGATTGCCCAATTCAGCCGTGATGGCGAACAAGTGCCGATAGCTGGTAATTTGCAGAGGTGGAGGCAGGCAGCGCCACTGCTATCAAGCCCTGGCACTGCTCTCCCTCCAGTAGATAAAAAGGAGCTAATGCATAATTATCCTTTTGCAAATTGGATTGTTTTAACGAACTGTAGAATATAGGCCTAACCTGATGGAAAGCAATCATTGTTTTTACAGCCGCCTCTCTCCCTCCTTTTCATCCCTCCTCCCTCTCTCCCTCCCTCCCTCCCTCTTGCCCCTCCAACCCTCCGGTCATTCTGCGTGTACCCTACACGCCTCATGCCCATCTTGCTGTAATCTCCCATACTCAATGGAGTCAGAAGACATTAGAAAAGCCATCACTATTAACATTAGGCTTTATTCGTCCCCATGGCTCTGCGTCTATCAGTCTGCTTCTCTCGTTTTTTTCTGATTCTTTAACTTTATGCGCCCTTCCTCATCCTTCCTACATCCTATCCCGTCTTTCCTCTCATCTTCATCATCCCCTCATATGTCATTGAAGGAAACCTGGACGGCGTATAGCAGGAGAGACACATGCATGTCTAATTAAAGATGTGGATTCAGAATCCGACGTGGGATAGGTGGAGCCGGGGTGAGGGCAGAGGAAGATGGAGTGAGGAGAGCAGCTCGTAGCCGTCTGTGCCTCCGATAAGAGCTGCTAATAAAGAGCAAATTGAATTACTAATGATGGGAAGCAGAGTCCCTATAGATGAGCCCGTTAAAAAGCAACCTTATGACCACTCACACACGCATGATAATACACTCGCAAACAATGTGTCTTAATTTCCTCCTCAATGGCCGGCCGCGGCGTCACTTCAGAGCGAGAGGCCGGCGTTTTCGGAGGTGCTCCGTTATCTGTGCTTTAATTTAAAGAGGGCATAAACCTCAGTAAGCAGTTAGGGTAATAATGAATCGAGAGGTGTGTGTGTGTGTGTCGATGTATGTATCTATATGTGTGTGTGCATGCTCTCAGAGACAGCCATGAAGCCCAGATAATCTAATAAAGCAGATAAATGTCAGGACCGGACGGAGCGCAGAGAGAGGAGTGCTGAGCCGTGCGCCTTCCACTCCCTTGTGACAGGCTTCTGGAGCGTTTTAGGTCTCTATCTGGCCCGGGTCTTATTTTTCTCCCTCTCCATCTCTCACCCAGCATCACTCCGACTCTCTCCTCTCTGTATCTGTCCCTGCTGCTCTGCTAATATGCGCTGTGACGTTTTGAAGCGCGGTATTTTGCAGACTGTCTGCATTTTCTGTTTAATCCACGTCCTGGCCTGAGTTTTCATGTTCCCAGAGTTCATCTGAATTTTTAAATGAAAATTAAAACTAAAGAGGAGCTGTTACACACACGTTCGTAGAGAGCCTTTGCACGATTTTCAGCTCAAAAACTCGTCTGTGCTGGTGTCTGTGAGAACCTCTCTGTTGTTGCTTTACCTGCTGTTATAATCTTACTTGCTGAAGGTGGTTCTGAGTCTTCACAGGAGGTCTTTATAGATCCACAAAAACACACAAACTCGTCTCTGGTTTCTGGTGCCTTCATCTGTGGAAAATAAAAGTAACTGAGACTCGCCATCACAACCAGTGAACCACTTAGGAGCAACTTTCTCAGACATACTGAATCAACAGTAAACAACAAAGTGCAGAGCTGGGGGAAAAGTCTAATGGTGAGATGAACTTTCCATGCGAGGGGAAATTTGAAAGAGCTTGTGTATGGACATGTTCTTTGACCCGACAGTGTCTGAGCAGGACAGCAGAGTCTGGTTCTCCAAGTGAAGAAGTCAGAAAAGCAGGAAAAGACATTCAGGGGTTCTGTGTGTATCTCATGTTGTCGTCTTGGAGGTGGAGTCAGCCAAACATCCATGAAAGAGTGAAAGAGGCATCTAGCTGCGAAATGGTTTCTTAAGAAGTGTCTGTTTTTGCCTCTGACTGTCTCAGATTTTTGTTGAGAGTCTGGCAAAACTGTGGGGAGAACTTTATGATAGAAATCCACAATCTGCAACCAGTGAGGCTCTTTGTCTGTTTGGTTTCATCGTGGTTGTCTTCATTCATTCTTGAGATCAGCTTGAAGTCACAGTTTCACGGCATGGATCAGAAGTTTATCAGATGGGTCACACTCAGGCTCAATTGTACCTAGGGCTGTGCGGTAAACCGAAAATTTGCAGATACCGAAATTTACGACAATAACCGGCGTCATTTTGCCCATGTCAGTAAATTTGGTGTCAAATAAATAAATCAAAGTTGTTTTTGGATGTGTGTAGGTAGGCTATGGTCTCATGTCTCTTTAAGACGCTGTCCTACATCAGAGACGTGACTCCACCCCATCCAGTCTGTAACAAAGAGGGAAAGACAGGTGAGGAGATGGAGGACGGAGAGAAAGTTGGAGCGGCTGAAGTAGAAGAAGTTAATGTGGGAGGGGGTGAGCAGCTTGTGGAGTAGTTATCGTTCATTGATCGTTATCGAGGTGAACTGATCAATATATCGTGATATGATTTGAGGCCATATCGCCCAGCCCTAGTTGTACACATAGATTTGTCTTGCTGCAAGATGATGACATCTAGTTTATCACTCAATCACAAAACAAACACAACATGAAGAAACAAAATAAGAGTCGAAATGAAACATACAAACTGTGTTTAACAGGGAAAGTGGTGTGAGTTTATTAATAACTGATTCACTCCTTATTTTAAAAGAACAGTTCTGAATTTCTGTCTGAGGTTCGACATCCTGTCCGTGTTCATACCAGTGTGTGTAACATGAGAACATGAATCAGATCTGGATGATCGTTTGTCTTCTCGTTGAGTTTTTATCATGTAGTCTGACCACAGCTGAAGGTTTTCTTGTAAGTCTGAGTCAGTTTTATAAAACAGCAGCAGCAGCACACACACACACACACACACACACACGCTCTCTCTCTCTCTCTCCAAATCGGACCTGTTTGTTTGTTGTAGTAGGAGTGGCCCTCTCACAGTGGTAGTTCTGCCACCTTTTGCTCTCTCAGCGTCAGCTTACCAACATGCACCCCCTGCGGCCCCCGTCCCAAAGATACCTCGGAGCCCATTACCAACACCAAAGATTCCTTCCCCTCTCACCAGCCTCCTCTGGGGATCCTGTTACTGTGCCAACAGTGATCCCATTTATTCAAACCATAAATCATACGTGCTTCTCTGAATCACGGCCCTGCTCTCACTGACATTTTCCACTTTCTCCAGAATGTAGCCCCCACTGTGTGCACGGACATACTAACGCTAATGGGATACTTAAGACCGGTGAGGCCTTAATTTAAGGAGCAGAAGTGGGTTTGGAGCGGGTCAGCTGTGCTGCAGAATACTCTTCATTTAAAGACCTTTACATGTAACATGGTTCTGATTAGATCCTCTCTCTCCTTTTTGTCTCATGCAACATCTAATCTTAGCGTGAAATGTGCCGCTTTCACTTTAATACTTATGGTCATGCTTTGGTACCAACATTTAATGGTGATTAAAAACTTAACTGACAATTATGATGAGATACACCAGTAATACAGAACAAATGTGGTGCAAATAAGGTAAACCATGTCCAAGAGCAAATCTCTGGACATGATATCAAAACCATAAAAGGATAAAACATAAGAGAAAACTTTGACAGTGAATAACAGACAGTCTGAATAATAAGCTAAAAAGATTGCATATTTAACGCATACTTGCTGTTCTCTTACCTTTTCTTTTTTTTGTTGTTGTTGTTACCGATGTCAAAAGAAAGCGAGCGTAGCAAGGTGTGCGACCACTTGACTTTGAGCAGAAGAGTTGGAAGTTAACTGTTTGCACTTTACACAAAATACCTCATTATTCTTTTTCAGTTGTTTTAGCAATAAAAAGGATTAGAAATTAGTTTTCTGCCTTTAAGTCTTTGAGGAAGTGTTGGAAAGGCTCAAAAGCAACAATTTGTTAAAAAATATAAGTAAATGTAGATATATAACTTACATTAACAAAATTTTAAAACTTGGGTAATCAGATTTTTTCCCCACTAATAATCGTATCAGCATTGGCCCCAAAAAATCCTTATCAGTCTGGCCCTATTGATAACTGCTCGTTTGAAATCGACTAAAAACCGTCATGGTCGTAGATATTTTTCTGATACACGATGTTTGGTCTTCCACACAGAACCAGATCAGACTCCCCAGCAGCAGCAGCAGCAGCAGAGTTCGTCTCTGAAGTCTGGACTCTGACCTTTTTCGGCGTCCTCTTGGCACGCCTCACGCTTGTTTATTTTTGTTTGTTTGTTTGCATCACTCGCTGGTTCACACTTGCTCCAGTTTCTCCCACTTTTCCTTCACGCCGCTGCCACTTGTCGTGCGCCCCCCGTCTCACGGTCTCACTCCCACACACACACAGAGATGGGACATTACCTCACTGTGTGATCATTCAGACCCACCTGTGGGCGTGCAGGAGGTCTAACTCTGTATCTGTTTATATCTGAGAACCTTTTATTGGACAAATGATTTTAAGAGTGAGTGTGTGCCGGTGTGTGTGTGTGTGTGTCTGTGTGAGTGTATGTGATTGTCCCATCAGCTGCTTTTCTACATACCGTTCCCTGGATGCCATTCCCCGGAGCTCCACTAGTATTATCAGTTGGATAACATACACATCTGAACTGCGTGGACCTCAACCTGTAATGCACAAACACACACAAGCATGCACACACAGGCATTCTGCTCATTCCTCTGCACTTTCTCAGGCTCTCTGTGTCAAACAGGTGGACTCTCTCTCTCTCTTTCTCTCTCTCTCTCTCTGTCTGTGTCTTTCTCTTCCCTTCTTTTTATATCTCTCACCATTTGTCATGCACAAGCACACACACACGTGCACTACAAGACAAGTGTGCCCACACATACACAGACACACACACGCAGATGTCTCGCACATCCTGAATTGTTACATAGCCGTAATGATTTAGCCAAAGGCTCGTGTTGACACTGCAGATTTAGAGGGAGAGGCCGGCCTGTTTAACGATTCATGTTTAGTATTTAGTGGAAAAAGGAGCTCTGCGTTCATTCATTCATCTGCGTGCCGCCTCGATTTAAGAGCATTGCTATTTAGTTGCCTGAATGATTCAGTTTCTCCTGCAGGATGGTGTCTTGTGCAGCAGGACGGGCTCAGTATAGCTCTGTAACATTTGGCATTTTGATTAACCTCTAAAGACCCGGGGGGCTGTGCATGCTGAAAATCGGACCCCCTTTACCTACAGAGTGTGTCTGCATGAGAACCTCCTCCCTGTCCATGTTGTAAACCCCCCCCTCCCTTTGCCTCCTCCCGTGAACGCTCATCAAACTGTCAACTGGCCATAATTAAAGTTTGGACTCATTTGAGCCCAACGTGCAGATGGACCTCGCTGGCCTTGAGGACAAGCACTTAATGGTCAACAACATGGTCAGATGACCGGATCACTTTCCTGGTTCAGATTCAACCTGCATGAGAGAGGAGGTTTTCAAATTCATTCATTCATTCATTCATTTTAGAGAATATCAGCCTTATATCCTGAATGTGTTTTTGACTGAGCTCATCCAGGGGGCGTCTCTTACTCTGAATCTGGAGGGGGGGCAGCATGTGTTGAAATGTGTAATCAATACTATTGAGTTCAGAAACTTGAGCCCCAGATGACTGTGACCCTTCCCAGTTAAGGAGGTAAATGTTTTCTTGGTATCCAGAGGAGTGGCCCATGTGCCAGGCTGTCTGAATAAATCAGAAACCTAACAGGACCCGGGCAAAGCCCTCACTAATTATTTGAGAGCACATGGCAAGTGATGCCCGTGTCATTTTATTGGTAAAGAGCTTGGCCGGGGGAGCTGGTGTTGCCATCTTTAATTATGGAGGTACAAGTCCTGTAAATAATCCAGCTTTCTAGTATTTAGAGAGGGATGATGTCGTCTCCTGACTTCAAGGTTTTTTTTTTTCTGTTTCACACCTTCGAGAGGAATCAGCTCTGTTTTTATAGAGCTGTGAAACACTAGACTGTCAACTAGAGCAGGTTTGGTTTTGGTCTCAAACTCAGGACAGACTTCATTCAAGAAATTGTTGTAGTAGAAATTTTTTCAGGCTGATTATTTGTATTTAAATTCAGTAATTTCTCCAGATTATATTACTTTGACCAAGTGGACCAAGAATTTAATCCTCTGGCATGGTGCTGGAAGTTTGACAGTTACTGACACCATCTCAGTGTTTTCCACCACTGAGAGTGTTTTCCATAGACTTCATGTTGCTTCGCCGCTGTTTACTTCCTCATGTCATTGATCGTAACTGACAGGATTACGTTTAATTCCCTACCAACACATTGTTTCATTAAGTAAGTTGTCACTGGCCGAGTATCACTGTGTTATTATGGATTACCTTTACTTTGGCTCGTCGTGCTCGGTGGTGAGTCCATCAGTTTGAGTTGTTTACAGCGTTGACATGATTTCAGGTCGGATAGAAAAAGGATTTGGAACATTATTCAGGTGGGAAGCTGTGATGAGACTGTAACGAATCAACTAAAACACAAAAATAACTCTTACTACCAGATCAGTCCTTCAGTGTAATGCTGTGATTGTTCAGATCCTCTCGGTTTGTTCTTACACAAATCTGAGCAATGGTAGAAAACGCTCTTTAATGAATCTACTCCCGCTGTGTTTGCTATCAGGGATTATGTTTCAGTCATTACAGACCGCTGTGCCGTGGCCAGCTGCCCCAAAATAAAAGTCTGTCCTGGAGAAAACGACTTTTTTTTGTTCATGTTTAACTGAAACTCATCAAACAAATGCAACCACCATCAGTTTCAAACCTGAGAGTGAAACCAGAGATCTGGCTGTTTAGTTTTAGTTCTTAAGTCGTAAAGAAAACCAAAAAGAAAGTAAACTTTGTGCCGCGTTCATCCGTCCGTCTGTCCGTCCGTTCGCCGTGTTGTGTTACATAAAGCGTGTCTGTTTGGAAACAGGGTGGAGAAAGTCAGAGGCCATCAGGAGCTGCCCCATAAATCTTCACCTTTTGTCAGCTTGGGAGCATGCCGGTATAGCTTCTTACCCCCCACACTCTCCCACCCCCCCGACAGTAACCCTATCCCCCCAGTTCTCCTCCACATGTCTGCACACACCGCTGTGTTACCATAATAATCAGAGAGTTTTGCCGTTTACGTGGGAAGACGAGCAAAGAGCCTAAAGTGTGCAAGGCATGTTAATTATGCCCCCCAGCCCCCACCCCCTCTTCAAAATACACATGCTGGTGGTGGTGGTGGTGGTGGTGGGGGGGTTGTCACTGGTTTGGCCATCATGGCCGCCGCAGGCTCCTCTGGACACTGGGTTTGGCTGTTGACACGAGGAGGATAGTTTATGGCTTCAGGGTCACAGAGGGGACTTCTAGGAAGTTTATAAATTGTACTGTACAATTTAATCATGCAACACAATCCTCGTTTAAAGGGTTTACTTTGGGGCCTCAGGATTGGCTTTACAGGGCCGCGGGATTAACTCTTAGAGGAATTATAAAATAACACGCTTCATAACAGCATCAGTTTTCATAAGGACAGTGTTCCCGCAGACATAAATATCTGTCATGTTCTCAGATCTATACCACAGTGCAATGTCTTTTTCTATTTCATAAATTAATAAAAAATCCACCTAAAACGAAACAGCCAAGAAAACAATGTATGTTAAAGTGCAGTGCGCATGAAATAATTAAATTACTTTCTTATTTCTTTGTTTGTTTTTATAGTGAAGGCTGGTCAGAAATCTAAAAGTTTCTTGTGGCGATAAACTGTTAACATAACTTTAAAAAAATGTTAAATAAGTTTAGCAATTTGATTCTATAACTGGTCAGGTTTATTGATTTATGGAGTTGATTAAATGCAAAAACAAACAAAAAACACCAGAAACATGAAATCAGGATTTTATATCTGAGGGCATCAGTCATTAAAAAACTTATATCAGTCGACGACTCCATTTAAAAGTTTTCTTTAAGATTGATGTTACTGTTTTAAGTCAAAAGGGACCAAAATCAATGTCAGCTTTATTGATCAATTGATGGCATTTTGAAATAATCAGCATCATCAGTTTGATTAAAAGTGAAGAAATCCCCATCTGTTCATTGGAGTCAGCATCCTTTTAAATGAAAAGACAGTGAATATCAGCACACAGTGTTGGGGGAGTTTGATTTTACCTCCACCATAAATATTAAATACGTCACGTTTCGACATCTAAGGCTTTACCCTGTTTTTCTTTCATTTCGCGAATTAATTCAAAATCCACCTGAAACACATTTTTTTCTGGCTGAGATAACAGAAAATACAAGATTTTAATGTGCATGGAAGAACAGCTGTTATTGTTATCAAATTAATAAATTAAAAATATAACAATAAAAAAACACTGTCAGCTGTTGGAAAAATCACCTGTTGGAAAAGCCGCTTTGGTCCACCCACAGTTTCAAGTAGATGTGGAGGAAAGTGAAGTAATCTGTTTGTATTTGTACTGAGCGCTTTACATCAAATGTAGTATTCTATGACCTTTAATGAGGGTCAGCAATAAAGTGATTTTTAGATAGATGTTTACTGTAGACTAATCCTGGACCAGGAGGAAGTGCTGACAGCAGGACATCTTGGGTCATATGACAGACGTCACGTGTCCTGAGATGTGTCTGTTTCCCATACGAGCGTTGAAGTTGTTTAAAGGATATATATTTAAATAAACAAACTTAATGAGTGCTGTTATATCCTCTCCTTTGAGCACATCCAAACAGAAACACGGTCACAGTGCAGATGTTCTCGTCGAACCTTTTTCCCTCTCACTCATCGTCTCTCTGTACAAACATTCACCAGCTCCACCACTCTACTCCTCTTCTTCCTCTCGGTCCACAGGGACTGAACGTATTCCCCTAATTAATGTCTTGGCAGCAGGGCTCAGTAGGTTTGTGGCGCCAAGTAGGGGTCGTGACCCATATTCCTGTAATGCTCGGAGGTTTTGTAATGCTCTTATCTTTTTTATCTCGGTCTTTCTTTCTGTCTGTCTCCATCCCTCTGCCCGTCACCACAGCCGGGCTCCAGGTTGAGGAAATCTGACCTCTTATCTTCTGGACAATTTTTTCTGGTCATTTCATCTTTCCATTTCAGTCATACCGGCCTGGACACCCGAACCCCTCCGAGTCTATTCTGGTCTTGTTGAGTTATTCGGTGACCCTCTACTATCTCCCTGACCAGTCTCTACTGCTGCTTTTCTAAGTGCCTCCGTCCCCCTGATCATCATCATCATCATCATCATCGGTCCTCCTCTCCTTTCCATTCTCTCTCATGTCTTTGTCCCTCCCATGGGGGCAGTTACCCACAAGGCCCCCAGCCCACCAGCCCTCTGGGTATTTGGCAGTGTGACTCCAGCCATGGTTGGCATGCAACCCTCTGAGCTTAATGCCCAGACTTTCCCTTAAATCCCTGACCCCCCGGCGGAGGGTAGGCTCCTTAAGCCCACCACAGCCTCCCTACAGGTGTTCCCCAGATTTACCATTAGCAGTAATGTTGTCAGTGCCGGGAACAAATGTGTTAGAGATTCTTTGGCAGAGACATGATGGACAGGTGTAAACTGAATGATTTACGGGTCCTGTCAACCGCTCACTCTCCTCGTACCAAATGTGTATCTGGAAGGTAAAAGTGACTCTAATCTGCATGCAGATTAAAATCTAATCCCCAAACTGGTAATGGAAATGAATGGTCTTCGTTTTCAACAGGCTGTGCTATGAGTTTGACCAAAATCTTTGTAGATGAGTGAAGGCATGGATCGTCATCAAATCTGTTAAATGCGGAGATGATCAGAGATTGTATGTAAGAATGTGTACCATGTATCTTCAGAGGGTGGCGCTATGACTACAAATGAAAATTCAGTTTATAGATGTTTTTGCAGGTCTTAGAATGACACATATACCTGTCGATGTCCATGTAGATTCTCATTCATCCAGGTCATGGTTTTTCTTGAAATCTCAAAATTCCAGAAACTCGACTGTGTAGAGTAGAGAAGACGTTTCGCTGCTTATCTGAAGAAGATTCTTGGATAAGTGGCGAAACCTCTTCTCTACACAGTCCAGTTGCCGGATTTTGGAGATTTCAAGATATACCTGGCGATGTTCATGCATGTAGGTGAAACCCACTGGAAGGGCTAAATTATGAACGTTTAGGGAGCGTTATGGAGCATCTGTGAAGTTTGATGAGTTTTGGGAATGTTGACCCCACAGGAGATATGGTATTCATTACGGACATGGACGAGTCAGGGTCTCAGTAGGGTTTTTATGTAATTTGGTTCTCGTACTCTAACACAGTACTTTGCAAATGTTCCCCATACTTAAAAATGATCATTCTTTTCTCTTTCACATTTCTTTATTTTTGAAGTTTTAGCTAAGCGCCCCTCCAAACCCTCTCTCTAAGACCCTCATTGTGCCCATTTGTCCCTTCTCCTCCCTTCCTCAGCGCCCGGGTGGAGTTGGTGTATTTAATAATGAATGCCTGTTTGTGTTTGTCAGTCTGCACGCTCTTGTTAAAGGGCTTTGAGATAACTGTTAATTCCTGCAGGGCTCTATTGATTAGCCTCGCTGGGTGTGGATTGTTTTATAGCCTGAGAGGAACATAGCGCCCCCTCGCCCCCTCCCTCACCTCCTTCCCATGCGTCTTCAGCCCCCCTCCTCCCTTGTCATGGGTCTCTCTCACCGGTTGAATAATTAATGATTAACCTATTTAATTAGTGAGATTTGCACTGAACAGAAGCAGAGTAATTGAGTCTTCAGCCCTCCGTGTGGTTGGAGGGAGTGTGTTTGTCTTTATCTGTGTGTATCCGTCACACGTACAATCGAGGCAGCATTAAGTGGCTCACTTCCTCCCTTATTCTCAATTAAAACACCTCCTACCATTAAGAGAGGCACTGGTGCTCCAAACTCGGACTTGCAGGGAGTTGGTGTTGGTGGTGTTGCAGTGATGTAACTGTTTTGGTATCAGGAGACTGACACTCAGCGCTGCTGTGGTTTGTCTGCAGCAACTGTAATGCCAGCAGGGTTGGAATCGATATCGGAGGGAGGCTAACGGCAATAAGAGGAGAGCTCAGACTACCAGCTCAAGCTGTGATATTAATAACTGTAACTACAGGCCAAAACAATGACGAGGGATTTGTTGACGGTCTTTAGCAAGGATTGAAGACTGAAAAGAAAGGGTGGATGCTCAGGGTTAGGTGGTTAACATTACGTTTACATGTTGGTACAAAAAAATCAATTTAGAGCAAATCATGTTAAATCAAACTTATTGTAGTTGGATTTATAAACCTGGATCATAACGATTATAATTATAAGACATGAAGATGAAGCTCTCCTGTCGTACAAACTGTAGAGTAGGCGAGTTCAGAGCTGTCAAAGGGATGGTGTTTTCATCGTTCGATGTACATCCCACTAAGATCTTGCCAACGTGTTTTGCAGACTGTTTTGATACGTAATACATCAACAAGAAGCCGACTCGAGGGTATGTTGCCACCTACTGCAGACACCCAAAGACTGCATATAGAATAGACGCCGACTGCCTCCTCAGCACCCTCTGGTGACGGGCTGCAGTATAGGTCATAAATCCCGCCTCCTCCAGCAATCCCAATGGAGCTGTGGACAAACTTTAGAAATTAATTACACAGAATATAACTGTTTCTCCCCCCTGGTTGCGATGTTGACATGAAGTTATTATTCAAAGTTAGTAGGGGATTCATGTGTCTTTGATTGACACTTGATACAGCCTATGGGTGTACGAAGATTTGGTAGTGTTATCACGGCAACTCTCGGCGTACAACGCAACTGCACAAGTGTTGGTTCCAGGAAGTGGAGAAAATCCCAGAAATACCGAAAGCAATTCAGCTTTAAATAAGAATAATGACGGAAGGCGGAGCCAAGTCGTCCATACAGTCTATGCAGACACCCTTCTGTCAGTAATTTCTCCAGTGCACGTAAACTAGGACAAAGACAGTAGCCCAGATAAGTTGTCTGAGTTGCTCAGCTTAACTGTGCATGAGAACGTTCTTACAGGTTCAAGTTACATGTACTGACGAATACTGAAACTCTTCAGAAAAAGACGGTTTCTATAATTTAAGCCATTACTTGACGTGTTCTTGTAAAATTCTTATTTTATTTAATTTTTAGTTTATGGAGTTTTTTAAGTATCACAGGGTGCACATGTGTTTGGAGTTTTAGGTGTAGAAAGAAAAAGAGTGCTTCACTGCATCACTAGAACGTGCTCATGCACAAATCAAGACATTATCTAAAGTTCACATCAACAGTTCAGGCTTGTAGGGTTACATTTAAATGAAACACCATGAAGACTTCAACATAAAGTAGAATCTGCACTGAGACGAAATCAGCGTACTGTTCCAGCGTACTCTACCCAGACCAGCACCAAAGATAGACCAGCGTGACACATGTCGTCCTTGATACCTGGTGATACTGAAGTGGGACACCATTGGTGTATTACAGTATTACAAAGTTACATTAAGCTCTGACCCTCTTTCCTATACATGTCTCACAGTATTTTTAGCCTTCATCGCATCACTTGGTAAAACTTCCTTGTAGGACACACCTGTGGGTCCTCGCTGCCCAAAAACCTCCTCACTCCTCCTTTCCTGGAGGTGCATTTAAGGGGTTCGAAGCCCGTCCATTTCTGGGTCACAGGAGGAGTGGAGAGGTGAGGTGGCACCATTCAGAGTACCCTATCAGTGGACCGCAGGACTGACTGGTCAGACACGGCTGCTGGTCTTGATTCCAACACGTGTTCTTTGGCCAGCACAGACTTGGCAGAAAAACCCAGAACCAGAGGTCAGCACTATTTATACTCACCTGTGAGTGGGTCAGGTTGTTCAGCCAGATTCAGGGCCTTACACAAGCGCACTCAAACACACACCTGCATGTATGCACTTTGGTGTGTGCGTGTGCATCAGCAGATCTCACTGCTGTGCTCCCGCCGGCGAGCTGCAGAGGGGGCTCTACACATGTTTACTGCTGGCTCAGCAACCTGAGCAGCTGGTGAACTCCTGCCCCCGTTCACATGACCGTCACCATAACTGACAGATATTTACAGAATTTGTTGGTTTTCCTGAAAGTTTTTAACTTCATTTAACTGAAAAAATCACAGCTTAAATCTTGAAACGGGATTAAAAATGTGATCACTTAAAAAAATTAAACATTGTGTTTTATTAGGTGACCTTATTTATGAGCCCCATGCTTTCCTTTGTGACCTTATTCATGAGCCCCATGCTTTCCTTTGTGTCATGATAGTAGTCAAAATAATCCTGATTATGATTTTTACGATAATCAAGCAGCTCTAGGTGTGCTCAGTGTTTTTGTTCTTCTGAACTTCTGTGTGTGGATCTTCTTATTTGCAGGTGTGGTTCCCCTGCTAAAGTGGTTTCTTAGGTTGCAGTGTATTAAAGCTACATGTTGACCATTACCGGAGTATGACAAATCGCCAGGCTGCATCATGAATGCAACATAGAGGAAACCTCTTACACAGGTTACCTGCATCTCCATCTGTGTTCACACTTAAGATTTTTCAGTTTTGCAGGATAATGCAGGCCTTCACTTTGGTTGTTATTTATCTCTGTGAAATCCCTCTTCGAAGCCCCAGGTGTCTTCTTCTTCTTCTTCGTCTTCACAGAGGGCCGCTCTCTGCTGCGTATCTGTGGAGGAGAGCAGCGATGGCTGTGAGAGAGAGAGAGAGAGAGAGTACAGTATTGATCCAGGGCAGTTCATTTTCTGCTGTCCCCGGTGAGTTGCTCTGGGGGAAATAGCTAGTTTGTCTCCTGTCATTGTGGCTTCGGAGTTAAAGAGGAGTTTAGAAAAAGGAAAGGAGAAGTCAGGGCGACACTTGTCTGTTGGGGACAAGAGGATGAAGAGCACAAAGACAGGAGATATTAGTCCCTTTGTATGACATATACACTCCAGATTGATAAACTATCCCCTGGACTCCTGCTCTGTTTATGTGTCTGCACATGCGCTGAAATGTACTCAACATATCCACACGTGTGCGGCTGATATTGTGTGGGCGCTGCTGAAGGGAGCGGTATTGATCATTTGCCGTTTACTGTCCCCTGCTCCCCTGTGAATTGCTCTGTGGGAAGTGGTTAATTTGTCTCCTGTCTGGGGGGTTTCTCCCTCCGTCAGTGTGTGTGTGTGTGTGTGTGAGCCACATGTGTGTGTGCCTGTGGCTCATGTGGTTAATTTGTGTCCTGTCTTTGGGGGGGCTTAGCTGTTAAATACTTCACTCTGTCTCTGTGGAGACACTCCCTGATATCATTGACCGTCGTGTTCACGCAGAGTAATGCTGGACAGATTGCTAAATAGGCGTCATTAGCAAAATAAACTCTTAACGTGCAGATGATTCAAAGTGAGCCTGTGATGAAGAGAAAAAACTTGGACCAGTGTTTTTATCATTACTGTTAATTTGGCCACTGTGTGTATCAAGTCTGTCAGTTTCATCTCCTAAATAAGTTGTGATAGTCGGGCTGTTGTGATTTATACCTGAACTGACAATCACTGTCTATACAGAGAGTTCATAGTGGTGCTCTTCAATGCTGGTTGCCATATGTATAAACACTGAATAGACAAATAAGAAGTAGAGAGAGAGATGTTGTTTATTCGATCAAATATAAACTACAATTTTAGACAAGAAATTCACCTATTTTTTGGAGATGGAAAAGGAGTAGGTAGAAGCTGTTTAGCTTATTTGTACCCACCCTCATTCCTTCCTATTCTTAGACCTTTTACAGTTACCAAAGCTCCAAAGTCTAACATGAATATGCAACAAATCATTAAAACTGAGAAAAAGACCTTATATATACATATATAAGCCCATGCCTATATACACACAAATATGCACTTCATATATACACTCACCGGCCACTTTATTAGGTACACCATGCTAGTAACGGGTTGGACCCCCTTTTGCCTTCAGAACTGCCTCAATTCTTCGTGGCATAGATTCAACAAGGTGCTGGAAGCATTCCTAAGAGAGCTTGGTCCATATTGACATGATGGCATCACACAGTTGCCGCAGATTTGTCGGCTGCACATCCATGATGCGAATCTCCCGTTCCACCACATCCCAAAGATGCTCTATTGGATTGAGATCTAGTGACTGTGGAGGCCATTTGAGTACAGTGAACTCATTGTCATGTTCAAGAAACCAGTCTGAGATGATTCCAGCTTTATGACATGGCGCATTATCCTGCTGAAAGTAGCCATCAGAAGTTGGGTACATTGTGGTCATAAAGGGATGGACATGGTCAGCAACAATACTAAGGTAGGCTGTGGCGTTGCAACAATACTCAATTGGTACCAAGGGGCCCAAAGAGTGCCAAGAAAATATTCCCCACACCATGACACCACCACCACCAGCCTGAACCGTTGATACAAGGCAGGATGGATCCATGCTTTCATGTTGTTGACGCCAAATTCTGACCCTACCATCCGAATGTCGCAGCAGAAATCGAGACTCATCAGACCAGGCAACGTTTTTCCAATCTTCTATTGTCCAATTTCGATGAGCTTGTGCAAATTGTAGCCTCAGTTTCCTGTTCTTAGCTGAAAGGAGTGGCACCCGGCGTGGTCTTCTGCTGCTGTAGCCCATCTGCCTCAAAGTTCAACGTACTGTGCGTTCAGAGATGCTCTTCTGCCTACCTTGGTTGTAACGGGTGGTTATTTGAGTCACTGTTGCCTTTCTATCAGCTCGAACCAGTCTGGCCATTCTCCTCTGACCTCTGGCATCAACAAGGCATTTCCGCCCACAGAACTGCCGCTCACTGGATATTTTTTCTTTTTCGGACCATTCTCTGTAAACCCTAGAGATGGTTGTGCGTGAAAATCCCAGTAGATCAGCAGTTTCTGAAATACTCAGACCAGCCCTTCTGGCACCAACAACCATGCCACGTTCAAAGTCACTCAAATCACCTTTCTTCCCCATACTGATGCTCGGTTTGAACTGCGGGAGATTGTCTTGACCATGTCTACATGCCTAAATGCACTAAGTTGCCGCCATGTGATTGGCTGATTAGAAATTAAGTGTTAACGAGCAGTCGGACAGGTGTACCTAATAAAGTGGCCGGTGAGTGTATATACCTGTGAAACTTCAAACCTCTCATTTGTACCATACCCATATACAATATAATAAGTGTGACAAAACAAAATCTTCCTTTTGTTTTTCTCATAATCTGTCAGATTTCCTCTCATGTGGACGTCCTCTACTCTTCCTGTCTTTTCTTCTCACTTGGTTGTCTCTTTGCTTATTTCCTTTTTTGTACTTGCTTGTAGAAATATGTCAACAAAATACATCTACCTTCTAAAAACATTTTTGGTTACATCAGGTCATGTAAAAGCACGTTAAAATGCACATTTTCTGTCTCATGTTCTTGCTCAGAAAAGTAAGATCTGCCTCCTCCTCCTCTTCCTCACACCTCCTGTCTACAGCAGCCTCCACTGCATGCATGTGTGCATGAGTGCTTGTGATAATTTAAAACATATCCGCACTCTTACAGTTTAGGTTGTATCCTAAAGGTTCATGACCCCTGCTCTATTTTTAAGTGGGTTACCTCACAGCTACTCCCTCGCTCTCCCCCCTCCTCCTCTCTTAGAGGCTTGTCTGTCAGTGCGTTCTCGCTTTAATGAGTTTGTACATATAAACAGACATGTGTTGAATTACCACAATGACAAGGATTACATAACCACTGAATCAACCGTGACGTCTGAACTTTTGAGGACTTTTTTTGAAGTTGCTCGTCTCCTTGAAAGAAATCGTTTGTACTTGAGATTTGAACTTCATGACTTCATGTAGTGGTCGACCTGACTCGTGTTGGTCTCATCGCCCTGGACTGGAGCTTTTGGCTGCTGTGACTTTGAAGGACTTTTATCAGTACATGTCCGCCTGTGTGTACGATTGCGAGTTCACTTTGCCAGTGGTTCAGCGGCCCTGTCCGCTCAGAGCAGATGCCCACTCCTCCTGGATGCAATCAGCGTTTTAGCGGACTGCTGCCAGCTCTTCTTCAGCCCAAAGGGACCAATTAGGTCCTGGCAGCTGCACCCAGAATGCCGCCACAGAATGGGGGGGAGTGGGTGGGTTGGCCGGGATGCTGCACAAGAGAAAGGCAGATAAAGCTGAGGGCATGCATGTAGATATGAAGGTATCAGGGTGAAGAAAATATCAGGTTAATAAAGATAAGTTTAACAGAAAGGAGGAAGAAGAAAGAAAAGAAGGAGAGCAGTTTGTTTATTTGGAGTCTGTTTTCGTCCGACCACCTGCTGCTCTTTTAAAGGATCACACAGGGGTGTGTGGGAGCTTTGGCCCCCTGCCCTCACCAAATTAGCACCAATGCCAACAAGAGACCCGACTGTCCCTCTTCATGCCGTTGTCCCTCTTTCTTCCTGCTGAACTTTAACCCCTGAACTTTCCCTTTCACCCCGGTAAATGCTGTGCCATGTCAAGCCCCCCTGTCACTGAGCCGGCCGTGGCCCTCTGCCAAAGCGAACCCTCAGACACAAGTTCTGTAGTTATTTCAGCAAGCCCTCTTCATTACACCCAGACTCAAAGGTCAAATATCAGCATTACTGCCAAGAGGCATGTGTAAACCTATACTCTATATATTATTGGACACACAAACCTTTACAGTTACTCCAGGATTTATTATCCAAATGCTGTTGTCAAAAACAGAGTGGGAAATATTTCAGACACTTCTAAAAATAGGAAGGATTTAAGTCTCAATGCTGGAAGGATCTGTAGGACAAAACTTGGATTACTTGGTCTGCAGATGTAGGAATAAAGAAGCACAGTGATTCAATAGGAAGTAATTGATTAAATTAAATTGAATGGATTAAGAAAAACAATTACAACGATGCAAAAAATATCCAATCCCCTCATGCCTTGAGTTGGACAAACTGTTTCGGATCAGAGGAGTTTTTCATGAGAAAAAGAAAGTGAAAAGTTTTCCTGCTTCTGACCCGGGAGGAGTCGAGTTTTGAGATCATGTAAGTTCTCGTAATGAGCCAGACCTCAGCTGGTCTCCATGACTCTTTAGGACCTTCACCAACCACTTTCTTGACTCATGCTTGGCTTCATTCCTCCTCTGACTCTCTGTGTACATCACCTCTGCGTGTCTCTCACTCAGTAGCTGAAACAGAAGTTGGGGGTCGGTGTTGGACCGGCTGACTTTGGTCCATCACTCACTGGCTCAGAAGAATCAGCAGCATGATGGATGGCTCCCGTGTTGGCATCTGCAACCAGAACCTCTGTCCTGGTTTAAATCTACACCACCGAGCCACCTCTGCTCCCTGTGTGCGTGCATGTGTGCTGACTGACATGTAGTCCTGCTGCAGGGCTCTGCATGTGTCCTCCGGCCATCACTCAGTAACTAACACACACACTGTAAGTCCATATGCCATCTCGAAACGAGTGTCTCATAATCACCAGGGCAGGAATTTTGTCAGCCAAGACGTCCAAGACATCATCTATTTCTGGATGGATCAATTCTGCTTTAAGTAATAGCTTTAATAATCATGATAATAATAGCTATAACAATAATGATAATAACAACAATAATAATACTACTAGTAATAGAAATAATAATAATAATAAAAAATAATAACAATAATAATAATAACAACAACGATAATAAAAATAATAAGATTGATAAAAATAATGATTATAATAAAATGATAATGACAATGATGAAAATAATGAGAATAATAAAAAATAATGATAAAAATAACAATAATAATGATAATAAAAATGATAATTAAAATGATAATTATAATAATAATGATAATAATAATAATAATGATAATCAAAAAATGATTATAATAATAATAATAATAATAATGATAATAGTAATAGCAATAGCCAAATATTCAACCATAAATAATACAAATTAGTGCCCAGTTTAAAAGCCAGCATCTGTAAGGGTACGGGGAGGCATAAGCCCCCACAGCATGGGTAGCTTCCACATGTAGGGAGGCTCCATAAATGCAGGACTATTAACACAATTTTAGATCAGAAGAGTGTAGCTCATATTTTTTTTATAAAATAATCACATTTCAGTTTAAACACTTGAAATGTTGTTTTTGCACTTTTTTTAGTTCAATATAGGGTTCAAATAAAAACAACAACAGCAGATAGAAAGACTTTCCTCATGATCACAACAGTCTCTTTCTCCAAGACACCATCTGACGACATGAGCAGCATCAAGGTTCCTGTCAAGTCTCCTTCAAAGAGCCGCTCACTTGCTCGGGGGTCCTGACGTGTTTGGTTGGGGGCAGAGGTTCACATCCCTGGTGGAATCTTGTGTTTCCCTGCAGGGATGCACTCACTTAACCTTCAGGTGCCCCAGTCACACTTGGAAAAGGTTTTATGAGACACGTTTACCGCCCCATGCTTCCACTCTTAAAGACACACACGTACACACACACACCTGCACTCTGGAGCCTCTAAAACAGATGCACATGTTACATGTGTAATAATGGCAGGCCTTAAGTGGACGGAGCCCCAGGCTCCTTCCTCCTGATGCGTCTAATGGGATCTGCTGATTGACAGCCACAGTCATCCCTTTGACCCGACACGACACTGTGCGTGTGACACACACGTCATGTGACAGACGTGAGCTGTTCTTTGTGAATCAAAAACCTGACGGAGTTCTGGTCACCACAGAGGACTTTGTCAGCTCGCAGGGTCGGGGTCAGGGTCAAGGTTGAGTTCAAAGGAAATGCATGTTTTCATCATGTCTTATTTACGTTATTGATGTGCTTTACGGCTATAAGAGCATATGGCTACTCTGGAAAAGCATGCGTCGGGGCCATTATCATTGAATTATTCATCAAGGATGTTGTCAGGTCTCCTTGTATATCATTCAACAATTGGAAAAATACTTAGACGTGGTCTGCGCTCTTCACATGTGCGAGTGGTTTGACTGATTTAGATGACATTGTTTCCAAAAATATGATCATCTGATTTTGTTCGTTCAGTCTCGATGGCGCCCGAGTTCATGGAACCAAAATACAGCAAAAATTTTAACAAAAACTAAATGGTCATAAGTTTAGTTAATCCTTATGTGCCCTTTTGTATTCTAAGTGGGTTATTCTGGTTATTAAAAAGCCAGATTAATAATGATAATAATATTTACTTCCTTCCACCAAACACTGATGTTTTGATTTTCCTGTGCGTGCGGCTGATAAAAAGAAATCCCCTCCCCTGGCCAGGCAAAGGTTCCCTGGGTCAGCTGGTGTATGTTACAGCTGATGGCTCCACTGCGATGATGGACGAGGCCACAAGCCAGAAGTCCCCCCCCAGCCCTCTCTCCCTCCCTCCATCATCACCACCGCCACCCAGCTCCTTCCCAAAACACACTCGACCCCCCTGAACACGCCTCTCTGCGGTGACATCACCGCCAAAGTGGCTGACAGCTGAGAGGGTGCGCATCAGGGGCCTCCTGTGTCAGTATGTGGCCCCCCACACAACCATCAGCCTGTCAGCCCACGTCAACCCTTCCTATACGTACACACCAAGAAAAGAGTAGGCGGTCCTCGTTACAGAAATACGCTCTTAAATATAAACCGTTTCTTCTCAGGCGTCTAACTCTCTAAGCAGGCAGGTGTTAATTTGGTCATGACACGGAACAGACGTGAAGAGTAATTGATGAATGTGAAGAAGCCATCTGTCTGTCATTACTTTTACTGTAACCTGGGTGACTAAGGCAGATCTGTTTTTAGTATGCGGGTATGAATCAAGGCCTGATGCAGAATTACCTAAAGTCTTGATTAAACTGTTTAAAGTCTGAGATTTTGCACATTTTTAAGTTTGTTTCATGAGCATGGAGTTAGGGCTGGGCGGTATGGGAAACAGTTTATCACAGTGTATTTTTTTCATATCAGTGGATATTGATATGTATCCCGATATAAAAAATGAAATTTAACAGTACTTATTGGTCGCATGTTGAAATACAAAAAGCTACTGCACCTGTGAGGTCTTGGTGTCTCTTTGACGTTTTGTCGTAAGGTGTTGCTCTAGAGAAAGCGGACTGAATGGTCGTCTGTTTCGGCTGCACAGGCGCCATGGGCTCCTTCCTCCTCTCGGAGTTTGTAACCTTTTGCGTTGCGCGTGCTCTGCCGCGTGTCACTGCTTCAGGTGGTGAAAAGATTTGAGGTATTCCCCGACTTTGTGAGAACATGTACTCGATATAATATATAATGCACATTACTCTGCTTCATGTCAGACCTCAAAAAACCAAAATACCTCCACACCACCAACGTTTCCGTGGCAGTGTTGTCAACCATGTCATCATCTGTTGAGCCTTCGTCATTTCTCGTATCCTTTTTTTCTCACTGACAGTGCGGCGTCACGTGTCGAAGTGCTATGGTTGTGTGTAGCTGTAGCCTGCTACGACGCAGTTGTGATAAGTTCAGCGTGAAATAGACTCGGAGCAACTCCCCTTTTCATTTGCTATTCGTAAAGTTTACCAAAACATGGCAGAATGCTGACAATCGAAAAGCATATTGAGCATGTTTTATATCCATATCGAGGGAAATTCATTTTTGATATCTATCGTTATCGTTTTATTGCCCAGCTCTAGGTACAGGTGTGTTTTTTTAAGAAGCGTCTCATCAGGACAGAAACAGGTTTGTTGTTGTGAGTATTTCTGACCCGTCCTGATCTGTAAACTTGGATTTTATGAGACTTGTCGTCACCAACCCGCTGGGATATAAATGCTGCTGAAAACGGACATCCTTTTATTTCCTGTCGCAGTGTTGAATGTCAGCAGCTACTTTCTTAAGATGTAATTCAGACAAAGTGCTCCACATATACACCAACAGCATATCTATCACATCTACCACCACATGACACTTTAGGCACACTCCAACACAAATCTGGACCCTGGAATTTTAAACGGATCCACATCCTACAGCCACGAACTGAGTCACCTTGTATATGCGCTCGTGTCGTTATGCTGTTACACTTGTTGTACTCTAGGAGGACATGATATACTCAGATGAGTTACAGGATGCTGTATTTTTAAGACCCTGGAACGCCGTTCTCCCTCCGTTGGCGGGGGGAAGCATCGAAGTCTGTTGACAACTCTCGGTAGTCTGTCAGAAAGTGCTGCAGGATGTCAGACAAGCAGAGAAGGTATTATCATAACCACGCTGGCTTACAGAGGGTTATTAAACTGTGGTAACTCGCTTGTTAAGTCTGATGTTAGCGCGGCACCGCTGTCTTCTGTAAGAGCGCCGGAGCAGTGGGAGTCAGAAGATGAGCCCCAGGGGACGGGGACACGGATGGCAGGGGGAACAGGAGCTGTCAATAATAAGATTTATTATCCATCGACTCGTCCCGGGGAGGGGGCAGACAGGGACCGCTGTTCACTGAATTAGCCGTCAGGTAAGGAGAGGGGGATCACTGGGGGGATCCCTTAAGAGGATGGGGAAGGGGGAGGTGGTGCGGCGGTGGCCTGTCAGTAGCCCCAGTCAGAGGGCTGAAGGAAGAGATAGAGAGCATGGATAGAAAAGGTCTAAAGCAGCAGCACCCAACTTTCCTCAAAGTCTAGACCGTGTCAAGGAGACGAGGCTCAGTCATCTTAGGGATGGGACTCCAGTTCAACCCTCCCAGATCCGCCTTCTGCTGATCTACATTAGTGATATGTCAGTGCTTTGAGTGGAGTCCACAGTTGGACATGAAGAAGAGGATCACGCTGGTTATATCATGAACGAGGTGAAATGAGGAGAAAGAAAAGTTAAACTCCAAGGCTTTCAGGAAAGGTTTTTTCTTTTTGAACACTGGGAAAAAAGACTCTTAAAGGGATATTCCGATGTATAATTATGTTAGGGTCAAACACACCGTTATGATCATTTCTTTATCATTTCCTTGGAGTAATTATCAACATATTAATCATTTTCTCTGCAGACGCGGTAGTTCTTCTGTCTTAGCGTCTCGGTCTGATTGTATTTCCATGAAGAAATGATCATAAATGTTCTTCCTTGAGCTGCGGCACCCCGCTGTAGTCTGTAATGGACTGGCCCGAGGTCTCGCTACAAACAAGCGGCTGCTGGAAGAGAGTAGGTGAGTTGTGTTTAGTCTCTTTGCTAAAGAAATGAGTCAAAGTTAAAAAGATGTTTGGTGTCTAGTACTATGTCTGTGACCCTATATGTCCTGTTGATGAAGTTAGGTGCTGTTCTGAGCATTATTTGTGGCTATAGAGTGGCGTTTTGGTTGAGCGCGTGGCTCTCTGTATTGCTATCTACAGTCATTACTAAAGTTGGTATAACTAGAAAAGCAAGCGGGGTGTCGAACTCTGTGTTACGGTGTGTTTATTATGTTGTACAACAACCTGATCCTGTTTTCTTCGTATCAGACATAAATTCTGATTAAAGGAAATATCGAAAGGGGCGTGAAACAGAGAAGCTAAAACAATCCTCATAAAGATTTTTTTTTCGTTGAGGTGTCAGAAATTTCAAACAATAAAAATGAGCCAAGCACTTGTGGAGAGACATTTGTGTTCGTTATACAAAATCCTGTTGAAATTCATTGTTTAAAAGTTTTCGTACTTTTGATTAATGAAAGGAAACATATTTGAAAATAAGTTTAAATAAACGAAGTCCCAACTGCAGTATCAAACAGTACCATCGGCTCACTTCCTGTCCTAAAAAAGCTTTATCTGAGCTTTGATAGATTGCAGAAGAGTAAGAAAGTGGTATGAACCATCCCCTCACTGTGGGTCTACCGCTGAGAGGCAGTCTGCTTGTAAAAGGGAATGTGTTCAGAGTGGTGGTGGTGGTGGGGGTCTGGAGTAGATTATCTGTAGATTCACAGCACTGAGTCAGTGGGAGATAGATGGTCGGCGTGCAAGCTGCATGCGCTTGCAAAAGGTGTCTTTGCAGCTTCACAGTCTGGCACTGAGCTGGCCCCCCACCACCACCACCAACACCACGCTGCAAGGCAAGCCACTGTCAAAGGTCTATTAAGGGAAGATTGAGACCCCAGGTGTGTATGTGTGAGTGAGTGTGTGTGTGAGTGTGCGTTCACATGCTCATTGGTCATGGGCCTATAGTGGAAGATTGAGACCCCATTGCTCCCAGAGCCACTCAACCAACACAACCTGCAGTGGTTTACAATCAGAGCAACAGCGTCCATCCATCTGCTGACACACACACACACACACACACACACACACACACACACACACACACACACACACACACACACACACACACACACACACACACACACACACACTGAAGGAATACTCTCTAACAATACAGCTCACTATGGATGTCATTAAACAGCAGCCGGGGTGGAACAGCTGGGTGACAGCGTTGTGGACACGGCGGTTGTCATGATGTTGGAACGAGGGTTACGGGACAGATTGAGGTGCAGGTTAGAGATGCTGGGGGGGGGAGTGAGAGGGGGGGTCCAGGAGGTTGGAGAGTGGGAATCATAGCAGCACCTTTGACAAGCCCTATTTGTCATCTGCCAGGACACCCAAATAGCTCTGACTGCAATACAGATGGATTGTGGGAGAAAAAGTGACTACAAGCCGAACAAGTAATCCTGTAGAAACCTCATCCCCACCTCCACAGATACTCTCTCTCTCTCTCTCTCTCTCTCTCTCTCTCTCTCTCTCTCTCTCTCTCAGATCTTTGCTGCAGGTGATTTTATTGAACACCTGTTGGCTAATATGAGGCTCATTACAAACACGTGATCGGTTCTTCCTGTTGAGTGAACATCTGCAGGACACGGTTACGTAGATTCCTGCATGTCCTCGAACCGGAGTCAGTATTCCAGCGGCCGCCCCGCTCGCTCCCTCGCTCGCAGTGATTTGTTCTCCACTAAATGTTTGTCTGAGATGAATTCTCCAGCTGATCCAGAGCTGCATCCCGGCTGACAAATGAAACCAGCGCCTCGGGGGGGAGAACGAAAGAAAGAGTGAGGCGGGGGGAGGAGAAGGAGAAACTGGAATGTGTAGAAGTGAAAATCGAATCATTTTATTGTTTGTCACCGCGGCCCTGCTGGTCACGGTTTGTTATTGGATGCTAATTAAAACGGCAACAATTCTGACAATTGGCAATTAAAGACTTGTGAAAGAGGTGACGGGGAAAGAGCTCCTCTCTGCGGGTATAAACTCATTTGTTATCCCTTTTTTCACACCTCTCTTCACTCTGTCTTTTCTTGACTCATTAGGAAGACAGAGTGCTGTCACTGACCACCTCAGTGAACGATTGCTAAGAGAGGAGGAGGGAGCGCTGATAATGTCGGGGAAGACAGCTTTTTTTTAGCTGCAGTAATTTAAACGAATGTGAGGTAAAGCTGATTCATAGTGGGATGATAAAATGACGAAATGAGATCAGGAACAATAACGCAAAGAGGAAGACTTGAAAACATGATATTGAGGTTTTTAAAATTACCAAAAAGAGTGTTTTAACATCGAGTTTGTCAAAGTGCGATGTTTCCCCCGCTCTGCCCCAATGGTGTAGACCAGACCAGTCTGATACAGAACAAAACAAACCCAGAGGGGATGACACCCTACAGCCGTTTGTTTGCACTGAGACCCATCAACTAGAACCAGATAGGGCTGCACTATTAATCGATTTTAAATCCTAATCAGATTATTTAATTACGACGGTGTTAAAAAAACTAAAATCCACAAATCCATTTTCCTCTCTATCATGTCTCGTGCCTCCAGTCCACCGTAGGCTCCCCACTTCCCACACACACCAGTGTAAACAAACATGGTGTTTGCTGAAGAAGGCGATAATTTCGTGGTTAAATAGGACAAGAGCGAGTCAGTCGTGTTGAATTGGTACGACTTCACAGTTTCAGATAAAGAGTAAACCACTCCCCACTGCAAAGTCTGTCTGAAGGCGGTAACAACCCGTCACCACGGAAACAAATTCAGGAGTAAACGTTAAAGTTTTTGTCGAGTTGGTGTTTCATCCACACAGAAATGGCTTTTCAGGTGACCGTATTTTTTTTTTAAACGGGTCAGAGAGTGAATAAATCTGTAAACGACGACCATTTCATCTCCGTGTGGATGTCTATCTGCATCTCTGGAAACGATCATGTGACACACAGAGAAACTCTTTTTATGGCGTCTGAGCGTGTCCGACCAAAACAACCTTTATACACATGCTCTGTACTCTTCTTCTGTCTTTTGTGTATTTCCTGTGCAGAGTTACAGCGCTACTCACTGGCTTGGCATATGAACTACATCATTTTAAGTGGTTTAGTTTTGAGAGATAATAGAAAATCTTTTTATTATTAAAGTAAAGTTTGGTGAAATTCTCACTGAATAAAAAAATCGAAATCTGAAATCGATTTTTCAGAGAAAAAAATCTGGATTTTATTTTTGGCCAAAATCGTGCAGCCCTACTGTCACTGAAGTTTCACACAGTGCTTTTAAAAACTACAGGCTGCAGGTCCAACATGATTCAGCCTGTTTAAACTTTAACCTTTATCACATCAGATTAGCATTAAAATTTATTATGACAAGGACTAATGTCACTGTCCAGTCTAGCGAATATGAAACACTAACACTTCCCTGCTCTCCTCTCTCAATCAGCATGTTAGTTTGTACTGCTGTTGAAGATACAACAGTCCATTAGTTATATCTACGACTCCCTCATGCTCCCAAACTTTGTTTCACTCTGATCTGCTTTTAAAGGAGGAACAGAGGATTGTCAATTGTCAAGTATTTATTATCACATAATGGAGCCATAACCGTATTTGAAGTAATAGCCTGCCCAGTTCAACCAGTACATCCAGCATCAGTTGACCTTTGGACTTACAAACTGCTGTGTTCCTTCCTCAAACTTTTGCTTCTCGTCTTCACGTGTCCGCACTCATCAGAGCTAATGTGAGGTTTTAACGTGAACAAAGTCTCACACGACTCGATGCAAATCGCCCTCTTTGTGTGAACACGTCAGCTGGCGTAGGCCATCATAAAACACCGTGATGGATACACAGCCGGATAAATAAATAAAAATATAAAAACACTTAGTCCTCTCTTTTTTCTATTTGGATTTTCTGTACTCTCACGCCTCTACCCTGATGGATCTGTGAAATGATATAACGAATGAGACTTGTAGTGAGAAGGAGGGAGGGAGGGCAGGCAGGAGGGATGAAGGCAGCGAGCAAAGAGACAGAGGATGTGATTTATTAGGCTCATAAAAATTCTGCCTTTGTTATTCCCTTTCATTTTTAGATGTGAGGCTTATTAAAGAGCACACCTGCCAGAGTCCTCACACAAACTCCTGAGTGAGTGTGAGTGTGTGTGGATGCAAAGTTTCACGTGTTTCTGTGGATTTGTTCTGGTTCTGACTGGAGAATTTGCAGATTTCCTCACTGATCTGACTCTGCTCTCATCAGGTCTTGCAGCCTCCCCCTCGTCTCAGCGGGTGTTCAGGACACGCTACAAGATGGTGACCCGCCCGGGCTCCAGCGCCGCCCACACCCCTCACTACAATCCTGCGCTCTCATGGAGGACCAAGAGGATCCAGTCTGCCAGGTAGAACACATGCACACCCCGTACTCCCCCCCACAGTAAGTCCAGGTCTGGGTTTGATGCGTCTCATTGGCTAATATTCCTCAGCGCTGAGCGGCGCCTCGTCTTTTATGTCACCGTCATGTGCAGCATGAGTGGAAGAGGTCGGGGATTTATGGCGCTCATTTTTACACACTAGATAACCCAGAGAATAAACCATTTACACCACTCTGCTCCTCACATTAATTCCAGCAGCAGGAGAAGCTCCTGAATCAGGACAGAAAGAGCTGGGAGGTCTGCTCCTTCAAGTCTCCTATTTTCTTTTGGTTTGCACCTCAACTGTCCGTCACTCTAACATCCTCACATGAAGTTTACTCCTCTAATTCGTCACATTCATAATGATCCTAGACAAAGAAAAGCGATAAGTCTGAATAAAGTATAAGAGAGGAAGTCTTTGCCGCACCAGGGTGTTAAATCTCACACTGTGGTGAATCAGAGTTCACCTGTTTCTGTGGATCATGACCGGTCAGTGTTAAAGGACACAGTCTTCAGTGTTACAGTGTCGCCCTGCTAAACACACACACTCATGATGCACACAAACCAAACGTGTCTTGGTTAAAATATCATGAATGCAAAAACAGGTCTGACATGTTTTAGAGGTGTTTTATTGAACCGAAGTAAGGCAAAGGAAGGCAAGTTTATTTGTACAGAACCATTCATACACAAGGCAATTTAGAGTGAAAAAAAAAATTAAAAAGGCGAGATTAAAACAATTTAAAATCAAAAAGACATAAAATGATTTAAAATCAATAAGACAAACAGATACATTTTTTTGTCTGTTCCATATTTGCCCTGAACTCCAAGAAAACCATCGTTTGCCGGAGAAACAAAATAAGTCACAAGCTTTTAGTCCCAGGGGCAATACTTTTTTTTGTAGGATGGTAGGGGGAAGTCCCACCTCCTTTGCCTCTGATTGGCTAGAGAAACTGGAAACGTCGTCACAGGCTCAAGCCAAACGCGAGCTGTCAGCTCTGTACATCGAACAGAACATTACAGAACATTATCGCACTTCTGACTCTCCTAACCCTAACCTGACAGACGATGACGTTTCACAGCCATAAGGTATAACCAATTGGAGCCCAGCACTTCTAGCCAATCAGAGGCGAAGGAGGGCGGGACCTTCCCCTACTACCCTACAAAAAATACATTTGCGTCACGGGGTTCCCCAGGTGGTAATTAGTCTTCTCTTTGTCTATCTCAGACGGTAGTAATCAGCAGAATTAAAGAACTAATGGGAGATATCCGTTTAGAGAGAGCCAGCCCTGGATGAGTGTAAACTTTGAGTACTGCTGGTAATGCGTGCACCAATCAAACGGCAAAGCTCCACCTCTTAGAGAGGCCCCGCCCATCTGGGGCAGGTAAAACAAACAAGCCCTCCCAGCTCCGCCTACATGCTGTCTCCAGATATCTGTTTTTTAAATTGTGTCACGATTAGTGAATCCATTTTAGTAATCACTAACTCTTGTGTTGTTGAACTCTGTATTTTCATTTAGACTCGATCATGAACACATTTTTTGAAACAGTTAAAAATAACATGATCTTGGACTCTGTGGATTCAAATGTTCATGAAATCCGATCTGTGTGACCTCAAATTATATTTTGGAGCATTTGTGTGAGAGCAGAAAATCATGGTGCGACTGTTTGAGCTTAGATTTGTCTACTGGGGAGAAATATAGTCTTATGATTCTTTACTTGTTTTGAACTTGCTAAGAAATCAAAACATGAGCAACATCCTAAAATATGAGTCAAGAGGTTGTTGTGAACGGGGAACCATGAAGCGCTGGCACCGCTCAGACAGGAAGACACAAATCCAAATAATCACCAACATGTGAAACTTTGAAAAATACCCTTTAGACTTTTTAAAAATTGTTCTGATGAGAACTTTTCATGTCTTTTGGTCGAGTATATTCCTCCTCTTGTCCACCTTTCTTTTGTGTGTGTGCGCTCGTGTGTGTGTTGGTGTTGGGGTTCATTTGTGTAATCCAGATTTGGTGAGACAGAGGGGCCCGGGCTGCTGCTGGACTCTTGTGACTTATTACTATTCATTTAGCTGCTGCAGTAAATATTGATTCATCAAGGGATTTTCAATTTGAGCCCCCTGACATCTCGTGAAATATCACCAAGTGTGTAGAAGTGAGGGAAGAGATAGGGAGGGAGGGGGACAGGTCGGGTCCCCAGGGATAGTGGATTACCCCCCACCTCCCCGCACCCATCAATGCGCTCCCTCCTCCTCCTCATGCTTATCTATCTGTTTAACTGAGAAGAGCGCCCACTTTTATCAGTTTGGAGCCATTGAGCGCAGCGTGAGCTCATATTCTTCTGCTCTTAACTACCGAGCGCCGCTCTTCATCTTTGGCCTATCAGACCCACTGGACCCTGTCCCCATATGTTCTCTGCTCTTATCTGGGAGCCGGCTCAGAGCTTCAACGCTCTCTCAGGCAATGCATCTACGAAACACAAATACCTGACCCGGGCATGAACATGCACATGCATGGTGCTGCTCCAGGTAGAGGAATCTAACGAAACACTGTTGTTGAACCTTGTTGTCAACTACAGATAATTAGATGAGGATTTTAAATTATTTGACTATTATTCTTACGGTTCGTTATAGTCGAAAATCTGTATATAATGATAGTTTTATGGTGGGGTATTTTCACTGTTACTCCTCACCTGCTGTAACACTTGAAGGTTTAATTGGAGGACAGGTTGTTCAGTCTCTGAGGTCGTAACACGGCTGCAAACAGTCCTGTGTGTATGTGCACATCTGAGTTTGTGTGTATGTGGCGCTTCTGCAGGATGCAAAGTGCGCTCTGATGGCAGGAATTAGTTCTGGATCCAGTTACCTCAGATGTCAGAGCTGGGAATGACGTTACACCTGAGTTGACAGCGCTCCAGTTAACAAGTCGGAAAACCAAGATGGATGCCTACAGTTACCTGTTGTTAGCTGTTGTTTACAATTGTTAGTTGTTGTTAGCGATACCAGTTGTAAACGACGCACAACACAGTATTTTACTCTTACAAACACCATAGCACCGTTAGACGTAAGGCAGGTCAACATAAACCATTTATCTAATTTCACCGAAACAAAACAGAAGTGCTAAAAAATAAAACATCACGAGAGCTTTCACTGTTACTCTTTACTGTTGATGCACTGCGCTGCCATCTTGGATTATGACGTTGTCGTCAAGTTGGAGTTGGTGAGGATCATCAGACTTTCCGAGTCAGAAATCCGACCTCAGGGGGGCATTCCAGACGAATTTCCGACTTCTCGAAAATCCCGACTTCTGAGAACAGCTGGAACGCAGCTTTAGTTCTGGTGCTGGTGTTCAAGACTGATTTGTGGACCAGGACATCTTCTCTATTCTGTCATTTTATATTTACCTGTGTAAAAATTAGGGGGTGTTCTGATACGATATTGATGCCAGAAATCAGTCCGATATCAGCCAAAAAACAGATATCTGATTATATCAGTCTGCATCTAAAACCTCCAATATCAGCACTCCGGTACAAGCAGTCCACTCCAGACTCCGCTTTGGCACCTTTATCTAGCAGCCCCCGACTCCAGCATGTGGAGCCCATATAATCACAACAACGGTGTGTACTAAGATACTAACAAAGTAGAGAGGAGTCGGACTGATGCCCCCTGTGTGGCAGGTTTTTACATTAAAGTCTGAAAAAGACGTTGCAGCTGAGTGAAAAACTGAGTCATGCACAAGTCTGTGCCAATACCGGATCAATATCAGAATCGGTCAGTATTGAAGGCTGCAATATTGGTATCATATTGGAAGTAAAAAAGTTATATCGGGACACCCGTAGTGAAAACTTCCTGACCTTTCCTTTAAATATTATTCCTGCTTATTTGATGAATTTGTTTGATTTTTAATTCAGCAGGTAAAATTTGAGTATTAACACAAAAACAATTCAAACCAAAGATCAAGTTAATGTAAATATTTAATGCTACTCAAAGGCCCTCTATAATCAGGGTTTTTTTTCCCTTTCCCAGCATGCCGTGCTCTTCTTACCTGTGTCCAGACTAGGAGAGCGTGCCCGGTGATTTAATGCCGGGGGGCAGTTTGAAGGGGGCGGGGAACTGGCTGTCGTATTTCAACCCCCGCCACCAGCAAATAGATATAATCTCAACATTAACTCCATTAATAGTAGCAGGAGTTGAATTAAGAAAGCCGTAAAGCACGCAGCACACTGGAGGATAAATTACAGCCCTCCCTTCATCGCCCTCACACCCTCCCTGTTTTCCTCCTCACCGTCCTCTCTTTAATTTCAATATTTGCGTCCTCGGTCTCTTCCTGTTTTCTCCACGTCTGTGTGTCTGGATTGTTCCGGCCCATAACTTTACTTCTTTCTCTCTCTGCCTTTCTTTAATTCATTTAGCCCCCCCCCAAACACGGCTCGACCCTCCAACCCCAAATAAGAGCCGTGTTTTGGAGTGTATACATCCACACACACAGCCACACACAGACGGGGTCCAGGCGCTCATCTCCTTTAGTGCTTCAGTATCGATCAGAACAGGATGTAAGAGACTGGGCAATAAAGTGAAGCAGCGCTCCCTCTTCTTCACTTCTCTCCTCTTTTTCCCCGCATTCGCTCCCCCATTCATCGCCTTTTATTCCCTGATTCATTCATTCACTCATTACTTATCGCATTAGTCATCTGCTCATCACCCTCACTTGTGTGTAATCGTCCTCCTTCTCCGCACAAACACTCTCTAAGTGTTCTTTTGTCCCTAAAAGTGGATTTTTGTTCATTACCCTCGCCTTTCTTTACGTTAAGTCGGATTTGATGGCATCCCGACGCGTAATGACGCTTCTTTGGTTTCCTTTAAGTGCCTGAAGAAGAGCAGCAGTCCTCGCCGTTGGAATTAGCGGGATGACTGTTTTTGCTGTGCTCTGTTTCAAGGGTAACTGTTTCCCAATATGAGCTTACTAATGCTTGGGTTGCAGACAAATAGACAAGAGCAGCATTATTCAGAGCAGCAGCGCGACCCTCCAAATTCTTCCCTGTCACTAAAACAAAAGTCGGATCATTCATCAACGGCAGCCGTAGTGCTGAATCGCGCTCTCCTTTATCTGTGCGTCGCATGGTCAGAGCACACACACACACACACACACACACACACACACACACACACACACACACACACACACACACACACACACACACACACCTGCACAAACACACACACACACACACAAATACTCACTCAGAGGAGTCTCAGGGGAGTTTGTTCATGCCCTTGTCCCCTCCTTCATTTCTTCCTTTCCTCAACATATTTTCACCTTTTCTTCATTCTTCTTCTGCGGTGACCTCCAGTTTGTTTCACAGCCAAATGAGACAAATGTAAAAGTACAGATGTCGTACTTTAGTTTGCCTAAAGTACAACAATAGAGTCATTTTAAACTGAACAGGAGTTATCTGCTGATAAAATCAAAGTGTGTGATTCTGTGGAATAAGTAAATATTAACCTCCAATTAGATTTATTTTGTTCATCAGATTTAGTGTCTTACAAAAACAAGCATGAAGCTGTTTTTTGGTCTTTGTGGAAAAATGCAACTTTTCTCTTGTCCAAGTAAGAAAAAGTCAAAATTCTGTTTCATAATCAGTTGACGTCTGTGATAATCTGTGTATGCAGTATTTGATCAGTTCTGGTTTGTCTCTTTTATAAGGGTGTCTGGTCTTCTTTAAAGTCCTGTTAGGAGTTTTGGGTTGTTTTTTGTAAGCAGACTGAAATTGAAAAAAGGATTTTATTTTATCATCTAACAAAGTAAAGATGACTGCCAGGAAGAAGACTGACTTTTTTTGTATATTTTGTGGCCTTTTGAATTTATTTAGAGGATAGGACGGCGGATACGGCTGGAAACTAGGGATGGTTGACGGTGTAAAAATCCCAGGTTTTAATCAAAACACAACCTTTGTACAGAGAAAACACAACTCCCAGTAATAACCGCCTGTCATAACAATGGCACTTAAGTGTCATAATTGACTGTTACACAAAGGCAGAAAGATTTAATCAATCATAAAGCACTGCTCACTCCTGTGACGAGAAAAGAGGATCCCTCTTTGTCCACATGGGGAAACAAACTTGAACCGCCGGACCAGAACTGCAGAGGTCCTTCAGCAGAGTTTTTGCACCAGCAGCACCTGAAACCTCTGTTTCAGAGCTCGTACTGTTGTCCCGCAACCCTTCAGAGTCCTTTAGTAGTGATGGTTAAAGTGCTGTTTGCTGTCATTGGATGGGATTTTCTGAAGGGGACCTAAAACAGCTGATAGAAATCATTTTGTAGCTTCAGTAGCAGCTCTAGACCTGGAAGTAGTACCTCGAAAAAGCCGGAGAGATGAGTTTCTACTCTGTACAACCGTAAACCCTGAACAGAGACTAGGCGTTGTTGGTTGCTTTAATTTTAGGAACTGCAACCTTAATTTATGTAAATGAAAAATCCATTTGTATTTAACAATACCGAAATTTGTGACAATAACCGACGTCATTTTGTATCGGTATGTTCGGTGTCAAAAAGATAAATAAATAAAAGTTTGTTTTTGGATGTGTGTAGGTAGGCTATGGTCTCATGTCCCTTTAAGACGCCGTCCTACGTCAGAGACGTGACTCCACCCCATCCAGTCTGTAACAAAGAGGGAAAGACAGGTGAGGAGATGGAGGACGGTTCAAAAGTTGGAGCGGCTGAAGTAGACGAAGTTAATGTGGGAGGGGGTGAGCAGCTTGTGGAGTAGTTATCGTCCATTTATCGTTATCGAGGTGAACTGATCAATATATTGTGATATTGATTTGAGGCCATATCGCCCAGCCCTACTGTAAACCCTGATTTGAGTTTTGATTTGAACAAAGACGAAGAGTTGCCAGTTGCTTAAATTTAAGGAGCTGCAAACTTTAATGTCAATGAAAAATCCATTTCTACAGTTTCCCCGTCATTCAGCCAACCTGATTTGACTCTGATTCATTCTCTCTTCTGCATCTTGGACGTCCAACATGGAGGGATTTCTGCATTTGTCCATGTAGATTCTCATTCATCCAGGTCATGGTTTTCTTGAGTTTTCAAGATTTCTGCATTTGTGTCCTCGGGGCTCTATGACCATACATTTCCATCCAGAGGACAGGAGTGAGGTCTGCAGACCGAGGGAACAGAACCATGTTTTTACTTGAGTTTTAGTTTTTTTTAAGTGGTTAAGACTGTTTGCCTCCTTCCTCCCTCCTCTCACTGCAGGCAGATTAACTGTGAAGGTACTCTGCTCCTCCAGAGGCTGTTTTCTTTAATGAGACTCAGTGTAAAGGAGACACAGATTATGAAGATTGAAGTCTACGTGAAGTTTGAAGATGGTCTGTTTCGATTTGATTCAATCATGGTGTAAAAAAGTAGAAAAAAAAAACCCTAAAATGATGAATCCTGATGGAGAACAAAGACTCACAGCAGGTTTGGAACACCACAAACATGAACCCAGTAAAAACCATCCTCCTCACAGAGCGGGGTGTAACAGCCCCAGTCACCCCCCTGACTGCGGCCCCGTGTCAGGGTTAACTGCTGTCTGTGTTAACTGTTCATGTCATATCCCCATTAACCTCCATTGTGGCTCCCCAGGCCGCCCGCTCCTTGTTTAAGCCTCCCAGGGTGGCAGTCAGCGCTCCAACATTAGCCTCCATTACAGCTCCCCTGGCTGCAGTTGCCCTGTGTAGGGCAGCCACTGATCTTGTACCGGTGAAACGGAGTGTCTGTGCCGCTGAGTTATGGCGTGCAGTCAGGTAGGGTGTGTACGTGGACACAGCTGATGGCCGGGACGATGCTCGCTTTTTCTCTTATTTGCAGCGGTGCAGCAGCTCTCGCCGGCTGCAGCGCGTTAAGCGTCCGTGTCAGTTGTTTTGTGCGCTGCGTGCATTCGGGGTAACCCTCTCTTTTCTCTGTAATGGGAGGCATGAACTCTCGCTCTAAACCCATTTCCAGCCCATCTGAAATACGGCAGCAAATTACCTCCAGCGGCACCCTGCACACCAGCCCCAATCCGCCCCAAATAGAAGTGACAGGACAGCGCAATTTATCGCCATAACCCCTGCACCACCACCCCACCACCACCACCACCCAGCAGCCCCGCACACACACGCACACACACGAGTCTGCTGAGTGACTTCTGAGCAGTGGGCATGTGTGTGTAAAAGCCTGCGATTGTGAGCACTGTACATACTGTAGCAGGAGTGTGTTTTCTGTGTGAGTGTGTGTGTGTGTGTGTGTGTGTGTGTGTGTGTGTGTGTGTAAGTGTGTGTGGTCTGTGCGCTCCAGTGTAGGGGCCAACCTCGCTGCCCTGGCCCCCTGCCCTGCCTATTATCTCATTGATTTCCTCCTCTCCTCTTTTCAATTCTCTCCATTTCCACACTGCCGTCCTTTCCATTAGAGGAGCAATTTAACAGAGTGCTGTGACATGGGAGGGAGAGAGAGGGAGGGAGGGAGGGAGGAATGAGGGGAGATTCAAGGATGGGAAACATAAAGTGAGGAGGGGAGAAGAAGAAGATAGGGTGAGAGCTGGAGGAGAGGAGTGGAGGATTATTCTCCTAAAAATTCACACATGTACCTAACACGTACAAAAACGCCGACAATGAGGCTGATTTGATAAAAGCCATATTGGTGTTTTCTCCTCCTTCTTCTCGCAGGAGTTTCCTTCAGAGTCGCCTGAGAACTCCTCCTCCTGACAGACAGCCGTCATCCGCCCAGCGCTGGAGAGGAAGCAGCATGTGCTGGATTGGCGGTTCCCTGTACCGCGTCTCAGCCAATAAGCTGTCCCGCACCGTGGGGTCCAACATGTCCATAAACAGAACAGGTACGAAGACCACCTCTCTGTGAGGCCTTCGCGGATCCACATGTGGTCCAGTCCCAAAACTTTTATGTCATTAAAAAAAACTCCCCTGAGATACAAAAGTTTGGAAGCAAGATTTTTTGACTATTGTGTAAAGAGTAACTTATCAGAAGACATTTTGACTATAATTGTTAGCTATTTGAGTTATTGTTGTTTAGACTTTGCTCTCTTTAAAGTAACCTCCTCTGGCTTTAACAACAGCTCGGCATATACCAGACATTCGTTCCACAAGTTTTTCTAAGGTATGTTCCAGGGATTGCATTCCAAGCTTTCTTAAGTTCATTAAAAAGAGACGCTGATTCGTGGGACGCGTTTTTCTGACCGATCAATCCAATTCATCCCACACAAGCTCAATTGGAGAAAGGTCTGGAGACTGAGGGGGCCAAACCATCTTTTGAGGAACACCTTCCTCTTCTTTTTTGTCGAGGTAACCCTGACAGAGATTGGCAGAGTGCTTAGGGTCATTGTCTTGCAGCAAAACAAACTTATGAGCCACAAGTCTGAGTCCAGATGGAGCAGCATGGTGCTGGAGGATGGAGTGGTACTGTTCCTTCTTCATGATACCCTTCAAACAAATCTCCTACTCCATCAAAAACATCCCCATACCATGGAACTCCCACCTCCATGCTGAATTGTGGGTGTAACACATGGTGCTTTCAGACGTTCACCAGTTTGTCTGCGGACATAGACTCTGAGTTTTCAACCAAACAGTGCTAACTTGTTTCTCGTCATCATAAGTCCAATTTTTGTGAGCTTTTGCCCACTCATATCTCTTTTTCTTGTTCTGTGGATGAAGTAGTGTTCTTATGCAGATGCACAACCCTTCAGACCAGCCTTTCTCAAACGTCATTTCACGGTTGTCAGAGATATGGGTTTCGACCTTGTCATGTTGATTTCCTCCCTTATTTTTGGTGCTGTCTTTCGCCGATCTCACCTACTGGTGACAATGCTCTGTTTATCCTCTGTTTTTGTAGTAACTCTCTTTCGTCCAGGTCTTTTTCTATCATCAGAACTTCCAGCTTCCTCTAGTCTCTTCAGAGTGTAGTGGACTCCTTTGTTAAACACATTTAGGCGTTTTTCTCTTTCTGTGTATCCTTCTTTCCTCAATGTACAAATCTTTACTTTTGTTTTTTACTCAGTTGCTTCTTTCTAGCCATTTTTGCGGTAGTTTGAACGCAGTTGAGATTTATTAGGATTTTGTCTGCAGACTCTCAGAAGCCAAAAAGTTGAAGTGAATAATCCAACTGTGATTTGTTTTTTTGTTTTTGCACTGAAGTTGTGACTCTTGCAAATGTTTCCAACCCTAAAACTAAGCCCTTATTTTCTTCTGCTGACATATATTTAGCAATGGTCTGTTAACATCAATGTATATCTAAAGGTAAATGGAGTAAAATGGTGCATTTCCATGAAAGCAACATCTGATCATGGAGTAAATACATCCCAAAATACATAAAACTCATGCTGGATTTTAACAAGTTACTCCCAACTGTTCGGCCTGTACTGGCCTTGCTTCCAAACTTTTGGCCTGTAGTGTAGAGAAAGAGTATTTCAATCTTCACCTCTAACCTTCTCGTCTCAGAGTGCGACTCTTCGTTAATTTAATACCAACATCAACACTCATTAAAACAGTAGCTGAGCTTTGATACCCACCCTGAAGTGATGGAGGGGTGTTTATTCATGTTTGTGGCTGCAGCTCTGTCCCCACGCTCTCTAATAGACTTAGGAGAACCTTGTGGATTTGCCATCTGAAATAATAAAGCTGTCATCTGTCAGAGGAGCGAGGGGGAGGGTCTGGAGAACTGGACGGTGCAGATTAAAGCCTGGATCTACCCTCTACCTCCTCCTCCTCCTCAGTACCAGCTGCACCTGCAGGTGAAATTGAAGAGCTCCTTTCTGCTCCACCCGTGACCAGCATCCAAACACACGCCTCAGATGTCCTCACATCCTCCTCCAGCCGGGCTCACGTTTGTTTCTGGTCCGCAGCCACCGACCGGGATTTCTGCTCTGCTCAGATCACAACCAGAGCGAGGACCCGACCAGACTTAACGGCCAAAAAAGTTCCAGAATTAGAGACCTGAATGAGACAGAGTGCCGTGTGTAACTCCAACCAGCATGTCCTCCTCTCCACCCGCCTCATGGCCTCCAGCAAACCCACAGAATCACACCACACAGGGGGGAGCTTCCTCTCCACCATTACTGGAGTGCACCGAGTTTATCATGTTTACCGTGTTCTCAGTCAGAGTCGGACGTCACGTTTGGCTTTGACGCCGATGTGTCAAACCACAGCAGCCGTATAAATAACCGGGCCGGATCGGGTTCTTATTGCATCTGGCTGCAGCTTCACTTCTGTCAAATCTGATCCCAGCAGAGAGTGGAGTGATTTTTGATACAAACGATCGAAAACTGACCTCTGCCTCATTTTCAATCAATTATCTGAACATCCATCACCATGAAATAAGAGATTTGAGTTGAGAAGTCAAAAGAGGCCCAAATGTTTGATATCTTTTTGATTTTAGGTAATCTTGTCCTTTTTTCAACGATCGCTTTTTCATATTGGATTATTTTTCAGTCATTCTGTCTCATAAATGTCCAAATCTCACTTGGACTTAAATTGATTTTGTACCTCACACTCTCTTAAAGTGAACAAGTCTCACAGATCAACTCCTTAATATCTAAAGCTGCAGATAAGGACACTTGAAGTCACTCTAAAGACATGATTCATCATCTTTTCACAGATTATTATCCAGTTTTTTGCATGCATTCAAACGTGAAGGTTCAGATTGACACTCCTGTGAACGACTTTCATGCAAAAAATGTGTTTCCTCTCGATGCTCTGTAAATAAAATAAACTTTTAACTTGTCAGAAACATTGAAACCGGAACTTTTTAAACCGACCAGGTCTCCTTTCTCTCACATTCAGGACGGTCTTTCAGCGGCGCCCAGGTCTCCTTCACCAGCCCCACTTACAGCCGACCCTTCAGCACTCGACATTTGGCCAGGTAAGCTTTTCAGGACGGCGTATTTTATTCTTCACGAGACAGTAAATAAAAAAAGTGTGAACACATCTGAGAATCAGTCCAGCTTTAAAACCCCGTCCCTAATCACATGTGGTCTGCGCCCCGCTGGCAGCACCATCATGAAATCAAATCAGCCTGTGGCTTTTGCATTTGATCCCCTGCTCTCTCTCTCTCTCTCTCTCTCTGTCCCTCGTTATTAACGGCCTTTCATCACTTCATCTCTGAGCCGTTAAGCCTGATCTAATCGTTTCAATTTAAAATTAGCGTTTGTTGGATACCCTTACCAGCAGCCATGTTCAGGTGTCAGTAAAAAAAACTCCTTCCTCCTCCTCCTGTCACGGTCTTTGTGTTATTGACACCTGTGGTCTGTCTGTCTGTGTGTGTGTGTCCTCTCAAAACAAGCCGCGCCGTCCAGCGGAGCCTCGCCATCATCAGACACGCTCGCCACAAGAAGCCGCAGCAGCGCCAGAAGCAGTACTGCATGTACTACAACCGCTTTGGCAAGTGTAACCGTGGCAACAGCTGCCCCTTCATCCATGACCCAGACAAGGTGGCCGTCTGCACCAGGTAACAGAAACACAAAACAACCGATTCATCACATCTGGAGGTTCAGGCAGACGTCTGGAGCGCCTGAACATCTGGACGTTTTCTGTCCTTTTTCATCCCGCTCTGAGTGTCTGTCCAGTCAAAGCATAAAAACAACCTCAGAGAAGAAACTCTTATTATGAAGATGAGCAGATTTACACATTTATTTAACCCATGAAGACCTGAACCCCGTCTGAGACTCGCCTCTGAAATCCTGAGGGCCGTTTTGAGAAGGGCCCCCAGATCCTGAGGTTTTCTGTAGTGTTGAGGTTTACAAAAACGCTGATATCTCGGCCTCTGTAGCAGATAGAAACAAAATTCAACAAGTATTTTAGAGCTTATACATGTGGCTTTCAAAATCACTTTCTTTTATTTTCTCAAACCCTCATCACATTTTTGAAAACCTTGAACAATTAAGACAGAATGTTACGAAAAGACGTATCCGTGCACCCGGCTTGAAGGGTTGAAATACCTACATGCACCCGGCTTTCCGAGTAGAAATGCGCAGCCGTGCTCCCGCCTTGGAAGGTTGAAATGCGGACATTCTGTCCTGGTTTAAATGGGTTAAGGTTCTGAAGCTTTAAAGACATGAAATCAGAAGTGTAGCACAAGTATTTACACATGCACTAACTTCTTTTGCAGAAACGGTGCAGTTCATCGTTTTCTGTCCTTGGACGCACAAAAAGACCCCAAAAACAAAGCTGTTTTGTTGCATACTCAGTTGAAAATAGTGAAATGAAGAATCAAAGTCAAGCAGAGAAAGACCTGCAGATATGAAGTCTGTCAGCGACACAGAAGTTCACATTTGTGCGATTCCAGGGTCTTTCTGCTGCTCTTCAACAGTCTTTATACGTTTTATAGTTCATGCAACAGGAAGCAGAGGATCATGGGGTAACTTTTATAACCCAACCACAGAGAGCACGCATAAGGAGCGCTCTGAATTCAAGGGTGTAGACGCTGCCAGAATGAAAATGTCATCAGGGGACACAGGATCTTCAAATGAATGCAAAGAAAGTTCACAGGATATGAGAGAACATCCATGTCAGAGTCTTATCCTGCACAGAGGAGCTCCTACATCCATGAAGAATCCTGACCTACAGAAACCCTTTAAAAAAAATCTCTTTTTTTCTGCAGGTTTCTCCGAGGAACCTGCAAACAGGCGGACGGGACCTGTCCGTTCTCCCACAAAGTGGCGAAAGAGAAGGTAAGACGAGCTCCGCGATACAAGGCCTAGATTTCAAACAACGTCATGTTTCAGGGGTCTCCATTACTACGGCCGCCATCGTCGGGTACAGTGTGTACTTATGGGATGACACAGTATTGGATATAGTCATCTTGGATCCAGTTTGCATTCTTGGCACGGTCCATGTTTCCATTGCACAGTGAGTGAGGAGGACTTCACCTGGTGGAGGAGGGGCTCAGGGAGGAGGTCAGGGTTTGTGAGAGGAGGTCACCTGTGTGGTACAGGTGTGGTACTCGTCCTTACAGAAGCTCAGAGTTTAGAAACGACATATTTGAGCGTCGGTATCAGATGAGAGCTGAAGACACTTTTGGCCACAGCTGACTCGGAGTCTCAGTGTTTGTGTGTGTGTGTGTTTAGAGGAGAGAGAGAGTAAAAGCTTAAAAAGGGAAAGCTTCTCTTTTTCCTCCAGCCCTCCAACAGGTGCCCTGCTTTAGCCGTGCACACTCACACACACTCACACACACACACACTCACACAATGCTCTGCACCTGTGCTGGCTGTCACCCTGCTGCCTGTAAGTGCTGAGAGCCCAGCTGTCTGTTTGCTATGCCACCTCTCCTTCAGCCCTCCTCCTCTTCTTCACCCTTAAACCTTTGGCCCATCCCTCAACAGGATACTCCCGCTCTTATTTCATGTGGACCTCCTAAACAGGACCGTATGGGGGTCCTGGACACGGGGTAGTTTGATTCGAGGGGGGATACTCTTGCGTGGTTATACGTCCGTCAGTCCTCCGAACCTGATCCGGGGGGCTAGTGTGGATAAGCGAGCCCGAATCCCACACCCCGCCTTCTCGTCCCCCCTCTACCGCAAATACCTCGAAACCAGAAACCCCCCTGCTCTCCTGGCGTTACCCCCAGCACTCCTTGGGAGCAGCAGCCCCCCAGTCTCTTCTCCGCACACATCCAGAGCACATAAACACATCATGGGAGCCGGACAAGCTGCAGCCTGGATAAATATTTCTGTAGCAGTTAATTAGGTAGAACTGATCCCAACCCAACAAGAGGAGCCCCTCTCTCTCTCCCCCTCTCCCACCTCCCCCGTGTTTCTCTGCCGGACCCCCTCTCTCAGATATATTTAGAGTGGCCTCCACCACCACCAGGCTCGCCCACGCACCCCGAACAGTAGATCTCTCTGCACACACCCACACACACACGCTGTCAAGACTCACATTCACTTTCACTCCTCCGCTGTCAACTGCAATTAAGGTCATTTAGCTGCTCGCCGTGACAGATTGCTCGGCAGATGAGACATGAAGCGAACACAGTGTGGTTTGAAGAACCGCATGTGTGTTTACAAACTGAAATAATCCCGTGTAATCTGGTTCCTACTTCAACACGGTCTCACTGCACAGAGCTCACAGAGCTCCCTGAAGGCGGAGACATCGGAAAAACTGTCAAATTAAAACAAAACAAACAGGTTTGAACCGGTTTGAAATCTTGGTTGATTTAAGTTACTTCCTTTTTTTCTCACTAAGGGCGGGAAAAACTCAAGATATGACAAGATATACAATAAAACACATTAAAATACAGTGAGACAGATGTGATAAAATTGCGTAATGTGCCTTTAAATACGATTTGATTCATGAGGAGCATGAGGAAATACTTAACACCATTATACAACACAATGACATATGATGAGATACAAAACAGAGTACATGATACACGTTTCACAACAATTTTTTATAGTTTCTGCAGATTTGGATGATCTGCTTCACAGTCAGATCAGAATATATCCAGGTATTTGCAGGATTAATGTTGTTAACACCACAATAAGAAGTGGTGACAGTGAAGAGGTGAAACAGCTCAGAGGGACGTTCATTTCAAAGTGAAATGTAAATAATTAGATGCGATAGTTGCACCCCGTGATAGGGCTGCACGATTAACCGATTTTGAATCGTAATGAATCAGTTTTGAATCGGATGTAAAAGTTCACTGTTATGCTGAGGATGTGGTTTTATACACCGCATGTTTTTATCATCTTTTGAGAGTGCAGTTAAGGACCTACAAGTTGAATGAGGGCTGCACGATAAATCGATTTTAAATCGTAATCTGATGATTAAAAAAAAACTAAAATCCTCAAACTGACGAAGAGTAAACCACTCCCCGCTACAAAGTCTGTCTGAAGGCGGTATCAACTCGTCCACACGGAAACAAATTCAGGAGGAAACGCTAAAGTTTTTTGTCGTATCGGCATTTCATCCATATGGAAACAGCGTTTCAGGTGACTGTAAACAGTGCTTTTTAAAAACAAGTCAGAGTGAATAAATCCGTAAACAACTACCATTTCATCTCTGTGTGGATGTCTATCTGCATCTCTGGAAACGATCATGTGACACACAGAGTAACTCTTTATGGCGCCTGAGCGTGTCCGGACAAAACAACCTTTATACACATTAAAAACTTTTAATGGAAGTGAAGTTTGGTGAAGTTGTCACTGATTAAAAAATCGAAAATCGAGTTTTCAGAGAAAAAAAATCCCTTCCTACCCTACCTTCTCATGAAATGTGGAGCGCAAGAAGGACTAATATTCCTTGTAATCCTGCGATCTGGTTGTTTGTTTCATTTCAATAATCCGACACATTTTCCCAACTCAAGTTTTATCGTCTAGTCTGTGTGTCCAACACGATGAAGAACTGTCTGTGTGTCTTTTTATTTTCAGATGCCGGTCTGTTCCTACTTCCTGAAGGGGATCTGTAACAACAGCGACTGCCCCTACAGTCACGTCTACGTGTCCCGCAACGCCAAAGTGTGCGAAGACTTTGTCAAAGGCTACTGTCCCGAGGGAGCGAAGGTAACACACAAACCAGAACACAAACATCATCAGTGATTTTACAAAAACGAACCCATCTGCAGCCGCAGTGAAAAAACAAGAACATTAGAATTGTCAGTGTTTTGACTCCTGTAACACCTTGTTAGAGCAGTTTGGACTCCTCTTTTGTCACACGGCGTCTTTATTTAACGCCGAGTTAACACCGGGACCTGATTGTGGAGCTCTTTGTCGAAGCTGCGCTCCGCTTTTGAACGTATAATTACATTGTAGAGCGTGTATAAGGTTCCCCTGAAGTTAAACTGAGGCTTAGGTAAACAAGTAGTTTGGTAAGTGATCCCCCCCCCCTCCCCTTCACATAGACACATGTACACAGTGACACACAGGCAGGAACAGCTGCAGGGGGTGGCCGTCCATAATGGCATAACTCTAGTGTCTGAGTGACACATTGCGGGCCTGATGGGTAACAGAGAGCCACCTCCACATGGCTCCAGACACCCGAGTCTCCCTCTCACACACACTCGCTGTCCCCACATCTACATCAAACACCCCCTCCTCCCTTGTCCTCCCCTCCTCCTGTGTGTTTCCCTCCCTTTGTCTCCCCCTCTCCTCCTTCCTCTGTCTGCTTGTCTCTGAGCGTCGGCTGTGAAACAGATGCTTTTTCACACTGTCAGACCTCATTTAAATAGTGCATGGGGAAATGAGGATATAGAAAACAAAAGGGATATTAATATTTATTCTATTAGCTGAAGTGCTTAGGTCTGTGATTTTCCCCTTGTGTGTGTGTGTGTGTGAGTGTTTGTGTGTGTGTGCGTGTGTGTGTTTATGGAGCGCTGTGCAGTAAGGCTCTGGTGGCTCTATGATGGATAGCAGGCAGTAATTATAGATGGGAAAACTGCTGAGGATGGCACTATGGGCCAGGCAGGCAGACACTCCAGCAGCTCAGGGGTTAAGTCTGCTCCTCGCCTCCATCCTCCTCATCCTCCTCCTCCTCCTCCTCTTCTTCTTCCTCGCAGACTTGCCACCATCCTGCCTCATCCCGGCTTTGTCTCGCACTTTTCCTCCGTCCCTGTAAATCTGCTTTACGCCTTTCTAATCAGTCCGTCAGTTTTTAGAAGTTTTTGATTGTTTTCCTCGTTTTCAACATCTCACACTTCCTGTTTTACCTCTCTGTCTTGAAATACGACTTTTTAAAAACAGATTCAACTTCAAAGTCCTGTCAGGTTACTTGAGACCCGTTTCCTAATGGTTGGATGTCTGTCCATCAGAAACTGACCGTCATAACTAGTAGACTAATTTCTTTGTGTTTCATATATTTGAATAATCCAGATGATGTTTTCTAGTAGAGCTGCTTTTAAGTGATCAGTCGGCAGAAATTTTTTTTCCTGTAAGCCTCAAAAACACAAGAAAGAAACTCTGAAGACGGTCAAAACTGAGCAGGATAGATTCAACACGGCTGAACTCAGAGGAGCGTGAGGGTGATCAAACTGTTGCTAACATTAGCAGAGCGAACACCCCCAGCCTTCGGTCCTCCCTCCACAGGATTGAGTGTACACGACGCAGCCTCCATCCAACTTCATCGACTTTCTTAATGAAAATACAGCTAAACTACAGGAGATGTTCTCCACCTCTTTATGCTCGTTTACATCCGGGTAGTAGAGCTAGGGTGACCAAACGTCCTCTTTTACCCGGACATGTCCTCTTTTTGGGGGCTGTCCAGCCTTGTCCAGGAGAGTTTTTAAAACCCTTCAAAGTCCGGGGTTTTGTACGGAAGTTTTGAGTTTGTGTCACATGGATTAACTGAGTTAGAAGCGTGTAAAAGACACTCGATCCAACCCGAAAAACTCTTAAAATTAATTACGCATGACCCTGTGACTCCACCCCTGCATAGTCATGTCCTGAATATGCTCACCCTCGTAGAGCGTTATGTTAGTCACCATTAACTTGAGAATTTCAGGCTCACAATAACAAAAGTATATGCAGCTCTTCTAATCCACTAGTACGTCTGATTATAATTCGACTAATCACGCAGTAATCACTAAAGCCCGACTGGAGTTTCGCTGCAGATGAAGGTTTCTGCAGGACGTTGGTTTACTCGCTGCTTTCAGGTCAGTTTGTTTTTAGCGGAGCAGCTTTTTTCTATCATTTAAACATCTTGGAGATGTTACACAACCTGAGCATGCACGAGTTTCTTTCTTGACTGATGATTTCATTCACGGACTCGTTGGTGTCTTTGGTGACAGTTTTTGGATGTCAAACTGATAACGTCAAATCTAGTGTGGATGTAAACTTTCATTTCCTCAGTATATTCGGGTCTCCATGTTAATAACCTGAGCTTCTTAATTATTCGGGTCTCCATGTTAATAACCTGAGCTTCTTAATTATTCGTGTCTCCATGTTAATAACCTGAGCTTCTTCTTAATTATTCTGCTCTACTTACTGTAAGTTACTTCAGACAGGAGAGTCGGCTCCATGCCCAGCATGTGTAAATGCATGTGATATCCCTATTTTACTGTCTTTTCCATCCACCAGCCTCCCTCTCCCTCTCTCTCTCTCTCACTCTCTCTCTCTCTCGCCCTCTTTCTTGCTTCTTTTGCTCATTCTCTCAGTCTCTTGGTAAATGTGCTGACTCCTCCTGGTTTTGGCCCAGCAGAGAGCTCTCTAATAGGCCCCAGAGACATCCCAGCATTCCTTAAATCAAGTGGAAAATTGTTAACTTGGTGTGGGATAAAGATGTTCTGTCCACTTTAGCTTTTTTCTCTCTCTCTACCCTCCTCCCTCTCTCTCTCTCTTTTTCTCTCTCCGTCTGTCTTTTTATGAAAATGAGGATGTATGATGGAGCTGTTGGAAGTGGACTGAGCTTTTACAGTCAATTTCTCCCACACTTTCTGTTCCTCACACTGAAACTGCTTCAGCTCTTTTTGAGCTCTTGTAATAAAATCAGGGCTGCCCTGTGGTGCAGACCTCTGAGAGAGAGAAAGAGAGAGAGGACAGACTCTGATACGGCAGAGCTCTGCACTGAAGGGTTTAGGTTTAATGTGTTTGGGAGTTTTCTTTAGAGACAGTACTGATGTTTTTTTATGCTCAACACTACACTTACACTGTTACGGCCTCTTGATATAATTAATTTGAACCACAAAGGAAAAAATAAGACTCTTAAAAGAGACCGGTAACAAACACAAGAGGACAGACCGAGACTCTCAGTGTCAAACAAAAATATAAACTTTATTTAAATGAGCAGTAATTGAGGATTCAGAAATAAAGCAATGACACAAAGGCTTTGGATAAACTTTATGAAGACTAACTTTTATTTGTTTACTTATTACACTTGTTGTTGTTGTTCAAACAAAAGGGTAACTTAAAGATTTAGACAGCTTTATTATTTCATATACAGGTATTTACAGCCCAAACCCAGAAACGTTGATACCTTAAATGCTGGTAAAAATCAAAATTTGATGGTTAGAGATCATTTAAACCCGAAATAGTGCAAAAAAAAGCAGCTCATCAAATGTTAAAACTTAAATTTGATGATTTCCAGTGCCAGCAAAAAGCCAGGACTGGGACAAAAAAGCGTAAAAAAAAAAGCTGGGACAGTACGGAGCCCCTGAAGGGATATGGATGAGAAAAAAAAAGTCTTTTTGCGAGATTTTTATGAGATCTCTTAAATGTTGTCTCAAGATTTATTGTTCACTGTATTACATACTTCGGGGTCAATTCAACAGAAGTAATGTAACATACGTAGCCGTGGGAGAGGTTCATTGAATCTTATTTTGAACAAATTTTCTGCCCACCTCTGCCTGCAGAACTGATTTAATATTTTTTTATCTGAGGCCAATCTCAAAAAAGATGCAATGAACCATCGTTTGGTTGACTCGACAAAGAATAAATACACTTATCTATAATCGTTTTACAAAAGTACGTTGACAACTTTGCAAAAAAAAAAAAAAAACTTTTTAATTTCTTTTTCCTTCATGTCCCCTTTGGGGCTCCATAGGACAGGGACAGAAAAACGTGAAAAAAAGCTGTGTAGTGCTTAAAAATACATCTTCTAACTCATTACATAAATTTGGAAAGAGTTAGTAACATGACTAAGTATAAAAGGGGATCCAAGAGAGACTGAGCCCCTTAGAGGTAAAGATGGGAGGAGCTTCGCCACTCTGGGACAAACTGTGAGAAAGTCATACAGTGATTTCAGGATAGTGTGAAACTGCAAAGATCTGGAGGATTTGATCATCTACAGTTTATAATTTCACTGAGAGATTCAGAGAACTTCGAGTAACTGCTGTACAAAAGAAACAAGACAAATACACAGTGTTAGCCGTAATTAACAGACATGACTCTGTAGTGGAAGTCACCGCATGGACTCAAAATCACTTCTAACAATATTTTTCTTCGTTTTAATATTTGGTCTGTTATATTTACACTCTTTGAAATGAAATAAAATGTAAAAATTACAGGCTAACATAATATCCTTTAGCATAATAATAAAAATAAAAGAGACATTGAAGTGTATCTGTGCGGCCAATCACAGCCTGACATGTTCAATACTGATGTCAGACACCAAATATAACCCGGCACCACCGACACCAGCAGCAGGCCCGGTTTCTGGAGTGAAATGTGGTGTCAAAACCGCAGCCCTATAAGATGATCCAGAGAAACATTTGACAGCGAGCTGACCCTGGGCACCCAGGGGTGCAAGAACATGGGTGTGAGGGCAGTGAGAGGGGCTCTGATGGCAACCAGTCAGGGCCGCGGGGCTCCAGAGAGAGTCGACCATAGCGTCCTGGAAAATCGATCCGCAGATCCTCCCCCCCAAACATACACACACACATACACACACACACGGATACACACTCTATTTCTGGACCAATCTGCTCCCCGGTCCCACACTCCTCACCCCTCCACACTCACACACACTCACACACACAGAGACACACGCACACTCCTCTCAGCCTGCACCCCAGAGTGAATATAATTAGCTTTTCTGACAGGTGGGAGGGATCGGATCTCGTGGAGAATGAAGCCACCAATTTACACCCGTATTACACTGTCATAGACACTCAGCTGCAAACATGCATGTGAAAGCTCGACTCTCTGCTGCACAATGCTCTCCAGAGTGACGCTTACTGTGACCCACTTGCACGCTAACGGAGAGGATGACAGAAAAAGTGGAAACTTATAACAGATTTGATTCAAATCTGCATGTCAGACACTTGATGAGGATATATTCATCATTATCTCGCTTCAAATGCTCTCACTGAAGTCCTGAGACCTGCTCGTAACAGTAACTTCACACAGTTTGATAAACAAGAACAACAAGTCGATTTTCCCAAAGTTTTGAACCCGTTTAGAAGCCTGTGTCCTGTGTCCTTGCCATCCTGAAAACAAGTGTTGGTGTGTTTACTCTGGAAGAGGCTTTGATCACGAGGACACGCCGTTTAGTCCCGTCACTCACACCTGGTCCTGGTTTAGCTGCTGTTCACTTGAGCCTTTGTTGGATCACAAAGGATCACAAATGTCCTCCATGAGACCGGACAGGAGTCGACATCTTCATGAACTTCATTCAGCTGCACAGAAATATTATGTTTGCAAAAACACAAAGGCTTGTTCAGGTTGGTGCTATTTAGAGTTTCAAAATTAAAGTAGTTTGTAGAGTTGCAGCTTTTAAAAATCCGTAAATCTGCTTCCTTTTAAAAATGCACCAAGTTTCCTTTTTTTTATGTTTTCAGATTTTTCCTTAAAGTCAAACATCTTTGCATCTTTAATTGTTTAAAACTTTTAAAACTGTGTTTTTATATAATGAAACCAAATCCACTAATTCCCCCATGGATATGAAAAACACCATGAAAAACACCAAAGCTATTGACGTGTAATTTTACAATAAAATGTAGCAAAGTCACATGACACAATCTAGGGTGAGGCGTTGGTACTTAATTTTCAACATCATTTTAAGTCACATTACCTGAAGTAACAATGTAGAGTAATGTGAATAAAAAGGACATACTTAACATGATATTCAGCAACATACCAACATGTGATGAAATGTAGCTCAACAAAATGTAGCACAACATAGTGTAGTGCAACATAATGTGGGGCAACGTAACTGAGCGCAACGTAATGTAGCGCAATGTAATGTAGCTCAACATAGTGCAGCACGATATTATGTAGCGCAACGTAATATAGAGTAATGCAATGTAGCACAATATTATGTAGCACAACATAATGTATCACAACATAATGTAGCATGATATTATGTAGCGCAGTGCAATGTAGCACAACATACTGTAGCACAATGCAATGTAGTGCTAGTAACTTAGCACAACATAATGTAGCGCAGTGTTATGTAGGCGCATCATGCTAAGTAGCATCATGCTAAGTTATGCTAAGTTCAGTGAAGTCACTTAAAGTAAAATCTTCTAAACTTACGCTTACTTGTTATGAATATATTGAATGAATACCAAAAAGAATATTGTGATTTCCTGCTCTGTTTCTAATATGGACCATAAATCATGTGAGTATTAGTTTTTTTTATGGTTCATAAAAAAAGAAAACATCTGTTTCTTTTTAGGATTGAAAAATTTATGAAAAAGAAATATACTTTAATAAGGTTCATTAGTATTTCAGAGGTTTATTCTTGTATATAAATCAAAATAATGGAGGATTTCCCTCTTCAACTGAAGAAATACCAGCACTTGTAGTCTAACCAACTATTTACTCATTTGCATGACTATTAATGGAGACATGGAGGTCTTTCCCTGCTTCGGTCTTCATATTACAGAAGCTCAGTTTGCACATAATCTGAGTTGTTTTCTCCTGCTGTGAGTGGAGTGTCCATAAAAAATACAACATTTGGACGGCTGCTCTGGGAGTTAGATGACTACTACACCTCAGAAATCTGACCTCCTTCCCGTCTCAGAGCGCTCACACTTCAGGGGCGGGGCTGAGTGTGAAAATGGGCCGCAGCCTAAATGTCTGTAAACTACATGTTGATATTAATCCTGTGAGTTTGTGTTTATTTTCTTTATTTTTTCACCTCCAGTGTAAGAAGAAACACACGCTGGTGTGTCCAGACTTCTCCAAGACAGGAACCTGTCCTCGAGGCGCTTCCTGTAAACTTCAGCACCGCCAACGGGTCAAACGTAGTCCCAGCACCTCCTCCGCCAACCCAACCAGGAGAGGCCGAGCCAGGGAGCCCTCCAAGAGGTCAGGGAACCAGATTAGAGTTTAGAAACCCCTGAACTGATTAAAAATCCTTTCTGATGATTTCTGTTCCTGCTCTGTTCAGGCCTCGTCTGTCAGTCCTCATTCCTCAGAGCTCTCAGACCGGACCAGGGAGACCGTCAGCGGGCTCTCTGGAGCTGCCCTCCTTCATCTCGCTCTCCAGCTCCCCGGAGGAGGCGGACGCACCTGATACACCTGATACACCTGACACGCTAACAGCTGAGAGCGCACAGGTTAAAGGTACGAAAATGAAGAGTGTGACTAATCTTTATGAGGACTTGACTGATGTGGAGAAGTGCTGACTGTCTGAGGGCGTATCGTCTGTCCTGAGAGTCTGAGGATCCTCCTGAGTCCATGAGAAAGGGAGGGTGGGGGGGTGGATCTGGTCTGAGCTGCAGACAGATAATGATGATCAGACGGGGGGGCGTACAGTTATCCTGATGGGGCTCAGGGGACGAGGAGGAGGAGGAGTAATAATGCTCCTCCTCAGAGGACGGAGGTAATAATATTTAGGTTTTGGGCACATGGATGGAGGCACAGCTGAGCTCTCTGTTGACAGACTTGACTGATGGAGGATTAGGAGAAAGGATGACCCCCCCTCCAAACCCCCTCCTCATCTTCTTCCTTCCCCCGTCGAACATCCACCTGCCACACTCACACACACACACACACACACACACACACACACACGCGTGCAACATTTGACCACGTTCAACATGTCTAAGCTCAGGGTGAAAATGTCTCTTTAAGGTCCTCCGAGGTTCTCCTGACTTTATGAGAAATGAGAAAAGTCTCATTCTGGTTTGAGGCCTCAGGACAGTCCTGACGACTCTTTTCCGTGTAAATAAGCTTTTATTCTGTCTGAGGTGATTTTTATTGACGGACAAGATGAAAATGTCCCAGGAGACCTCAGCTGCCGATAGGGGACAGATTTGTCACAGCTGTGAAGGAAAAGCCGGACACAGATCATCAAACTCACCTTCACTGCAGATTTTTAGAGGATCAGTGGTCAGTTATCGCTCTGAGGTTTTTCTGTCAATGATATCAACGACATTTTCCTGTTTTTTTAACGTTCACGTCCGTCTCTGTTTGTCCTTTGAATCGAGTTTTTCAGTGGAGCTTTTCTCTTAGCCTGATGAGATTAAAAAAACACTTTTCAGGATGTTCTTGGCTCCTCTGAGGCTCTTCTTCAGTTGGACATGCTCAGAAAACCAAAGAGGTGTTTGTTTGATCCACATTTGATCCAGAATGAATCTGAATGAATTAAAACACCTAAATGAAAACTATATAAAGACAAACAGCACCCAAAGTTTTTTTTCTTCCCTAAACATGTTCAGACTCAGAGCTCTGTTTCTGCGTCGGGTCTGTTGTTCTCCTGTTAGATGGTAAAAAATCTCTAAAGCGAAGTACACACATGAGGATTTTTTTTAATCTGAAGAGATTTTATATCTGTTACAGACCCACACATGAAGATAAAAAAATCAGGCATTGAACAGTTTTGATCGTCCTCTGTGTGGTCCGATAATCTCCACACAGCACAACACTTACAAAACGATCCTGTTCCACCACCGATCTAGAATCTAGTCCTCCAAGACAGAAATCTTGCGCGATAAAATGAGATCTAACAAAAATGAAAAAGAAACATAGCAACAACTGGGAAACACAAGACGCAGCATGGAGGAGGACACACAAGAGGAGGGAATGATGGTGGTTTTCAGAGTATTTTTGACAGAAAAATCCCGTACTGAATCCCGTTCTCCCGTAGGCCGTGCTTTATTTTTATTTGCTTTATTTGGTTCCTTGTTCCTCAGTCAGCTCGCTTCTTGATTGGCTAATTCTGTTTCACGTGACAGTTCACGGAGTCGTGACTCGGGGGTCGTCGGCTTTCCTCACACACGTGAAGATTTTTGGTCGTAAATATTGAACAAGTTTAATATTTACGATTGTCGGCCTGACCCGTTTCAGACCCAATTATCGGCACAAATTCACTCTTAATACCTCAGACCACAGGATAGTCTTACAGGATCATCTTACAGGATAATCTTAGAAGACGTAAGATAATCGTCCGATTGTGATCTTTGGTCAGGAGGGGGAAAATCGGGACCAAAACAGCCCGATTATCTTTATGTGTGTACTCCGCTTTAGTTATAAAATATCAGGAATAAAAATCTGACCGATGAGTGAGCGCCGGATCTGCTCACTCTCTCTCTCTCTCTCTCTCTCTCTCTCTCTCTCTCTCTCTCTCTCTCTCTCTCTCTCTCTCTCTCTCTCTCTCTCTCTCTCTCTCTCTCTCTCTTTCATGGTTTAAATTTAGTCTCCACTGCTTGGAAACAAGTATGACCTTTGACCTGACCTCAGTCATCTCGACCTCCGCCCCTCTCCCCCCTCAGACAGGACACAGTTGAAAGTACACACAGTCCGAGTGTCTCATATTATTGTTGCTGTAGATGTTGTCACGTGTCCTTGGTCAGAGTTATTTCTGTTTCGATTGAATTATTAATTATTAGTAGTTTTTTTTCTTTTCATGATAAAACCCGATAATGATCAAATCCACAAACTTCCACAATGAAAAAAAACAAAAAAAAAACAGGGGTATGTTACTCAGTTTGTCTCATCTCTGTGTCCGCCAAAGTTCTGGAGGAATTTCATGGTCGCATGAAGTGTTGTTGTTGTGTTGATTCTGGCGCCCCTTGTGGACATAAAGTGATACCTCATGTAGATTTAAAAGTTGCGTTTACAGACAAAAACCTCATCCTGTTGTCTTTAAACGGTGACACGTATCACTCAGTGTGAATAAATGAAGTATGCGACCATCATGTAGTCGGTCTGGTTTGGTCTCAGTTTCAGTTTCCGTCTGTTTCTCTCAGTCATTTCAAACTTTGTCAAACTTTATTTAAACTGACAAATTACAGAGTATTTAGAGAAATGAATCCCAGTCTAAAGTTTGTCTGATATTGACAGAGAGATAATCATAAACGTCTGTTTATGTCTGATCATTTTCTCCTCTCTCTCTCTCTCTCTCTCTCTCTCTGTCCGGCTGCTTCTTTCTGTTCTTTAAGTATTACTAATGACACGCCGGCAACACACCGCACCGCCCAGAGCCTCATTAAAGGTGGAAGGAAGCCAAAAAAGCTCCTCTTCACTTTGCATAAATTAGCTCAGACACAATGAATCACTGCCAGATTAACACACACACACACACACACACACACACACTCATCCATCCCCGCTGCCTCCCTCTCTTCCTCAGCGAAGATGTCATCACTCAGCATTTCAGCTCGCCTCTTTTCGTCACATCATGTCTCCCGATGTTCATCCGTTCTTATTAATTTCTTCTTTTTTTCCTCCACAGAGAAAAAACTTCAGATCAAGCCTCGGCTGTGAAACACTCGTGGGTCTCCACCTTCTGAACCTCGTCACTCAGGGCCTCAAAGTTTCATCAACACGAACTTTCAATTTATTTAAATTTATATCAGCTGCCGTTTTTTTAAGATTTCAAAACAAATAAAACATCAGCTCTCATACTGTGTTGTGTTTCTCGCTCTGAAATGTGAGGTCACTGCTGTGAGAGTGTTTATAGACTGTGAGTGTGTTTCTGTCCCGGAGCGGCGAGCGCCGGCGTCACATGACCCTGGGCATGAGAGTTTTCATTGGGGAGGTGGTGACAGAAGCAGCAGTGCTCCTCACTCCAGAGCCCGGAGACGAGACACATGAGCGGACCGTGACTTCATCATCGACATGCCGGGAGTGTGTAAGAGCCAGATTTGAGAGAAAGAGCAATGAAAAAATGTGATATGTGGATATTTACGGGTCACTTTTCAGAACATTTGGAGACGTGGTTTCCGTCTTTACACCAGAGGCTGAATAAGAAGTTGGTAAAATACAGATTCCCTCTTATTATACAGCATTTTAACCATCACATATCCACAGTTTATAGACAAACTATGCAAAAATATTTTACCTTAACTTACCTGTTACATTGATTTAAAGTAGAAGTGTAAATGTGTATCCTAACTGATGTTTTTGAACTATAAATACAGTAAAAATTCACTTAAAACTCATAAAAAATATAAGAAATTCCAGAAGCTGCTTTAACAGGACAAGACTGAAACTAAAGGAGGAATCAGCAAAGATAAAAGTACATCCAGGTACATTTAATACTGCCAAAGCCATGGTCAATAACCTACAGAGCGGCCAGATTTAATCCAGATTAAAGAAATAAAGCTCACACCTGCCTTCTTTGAACAGCCAGCAGGGGGCGACCTCAGTGCTCAAATAAACAGATCCAAATGTGTAGAGGTCTATGAAAAAACGATCCTTTTTCTTACTTAATTTGTCGCCTCAGATAAAACTTTCCTGTTAAGTTATTACAGGACTATTTTTTGTAAATTAGATCTGACAAAAATGAAAAATTTTAACCCGACAAACACGTTAACTCATTTTCAGTCATCGTGGAGTCTCCTGCTCATTTTTACGGTAAGCACTTTTTATTTTTTTATTTAAAGCTGTTTTTTTTTAATCTACTCAGCACTATTTAAAATGTTAGTTTAAAGCTCCTGAGTAAATTTCTATTTGAGTCGATTTTGGCGCCCCCCTGTGGACAAGAGGAAAGCTCTGTTCTCCCGGCTGATCTTGACCTGTGCATGTTTTTTTTTCTGGTTCATGATGAGCTTTCCTGCTCTCGTAGGTGTAGAAGAGTTTTTACAGTTAAATTGAGCATGTTTTAAAAACTCCTCAGAGGAGCTTTAACATTACCAAATCAATCTCCTCGTACCTAGCTAGCATTTTCAAATAGCGTAGCCTTCACTGGTCTGTTGTTTCCATCTGAGCCCACTGTTCTTCACCAGAAATGAAACTGCAGGTCACTACGATGGCGTACAGAGAATGGCCTCCTTTTCTTCTCTTCCTGGACTTGTTTCCTTGAGTTCAAACGGTAAAATCCCTCTGAAGGGGGTTTTAGAAAACACTTTTCAGAGTCCGGCCTCTTACCTTCTTGACTCTTCTGTCCGTCTTCTGTTCTGCTGTTTGTCTTCACGGTTCTTTCACAATCTGGAGTAGAGCAGAGGGGATGCTGGGACATCCACCTCTCTGCAGAGCGCACATATCTGATCATAAAGCTAAATTTAAACCAAAGTGACTGCGTGCGTCGTGTGTGTATGACTTCATATTTACATGCCCTCGCTATTCGGTGAACGTATGAGCAAGCGGCCTGATATTCAAGGATTGTGACACGACATTAATGCACAGCCAAGAGGTCCAAACACACAGAATCATGCTGTTGTGCTGTGTTCGTCAAAGGTTCAACATGTTCACACCTTTTAGCTGAACCTCAGCTTTGGAAACACAACTCTTCTGCTGCTGTATATAAACCGGCTATAACTCAGATTTAGTGGAAACGCCCATAAATAGCTGAAGTCGTCATAGGAGTCGGAGGACAGTAACAACAATGGCCGGTCTTCTTGGCCATGGTCTTCTCCATCATCTTCTCGATCTTTCAGAGGAGGTTTTCGTTTTTAAAAAGGTAGATCACCTTCTCCGGGTCGGAGAGGCGGTCCTGCCTCAAGTGGAGGAGGTCAAGTATCTCAGGATCTTGTTCACGAGTGAGGGTAGGATGGAGCGGGAGATCGACAGGCGGATCGGAGCGGTGTCAGCAGTGATGCGGACGCTTAACCGATCAGTCGTGGTGAAGAAAGAGCTGAGCCGTAAGGAGAGACTCTCGATTTACCGGTCGATCTACGTGCCGATCCTCACCTATGGTCATGAACTTTGGGTAATGACCGAAAGAACGAGATCTCAGATACAAGCGGCTGAAATGGGTTTCCCTCTCAGGGTGTCCGGGCTCAGCCTTAGAGATAGGGTAAGGAGCTCGGACACTCAGGAGGCGCTCAGAGGAGAACCGCTGCTCCTCCACATCGAGAGGAGTCAGCTGAGGTGCCTTCTGGACGCCTCCCGTTCAAGGTGTTCGGGACATGTCCCACCAGGAGGAGACCTCATGGCCGGCCCAGGACCAGGTGGAGGGATTATATCTCTCGCCTGTCCTGGGAGCGCCTGTGAATCCCCCTGGAGGAGCTGGTGGAAGTGGCTGAGGTGAGGGCCGTAGCTGCTGCCCCCGCGACCTGGACCCGGATGAAGCAGAAGAAAACGACGACGACGACGCAAACAGCTCAAATTTTCACCCCAACAGAAAATGTTCGGTCGGATTCATCGTGAAATAGTCAGCAAATGGAGTTGATGTCAGCTGTATCACGCACTTGTTGCAAACCAAGAAGAGCAAGAGTAGATTTCTGAGCGTCGTCCAAAAACCATGATGTACACATTGCACTGAGGCTGCCTGATTTCAACCTCATCTCTCTTAACCTCCAGGGAAGACCTCACCCTGAAAGATGTACAAAACATAAACTCTAAAAAAGTTTCTTAAAGAGGGTTGAAGCAAAAGAGTCGAACAGGATGAGAAATCAGAGTCGCACAGATGACAAAGTTTCTGAACAACTAGTTTGACTTTTTCCCAAAAATACCAGTTATTTGTTGTTGTTTTTTTAAAGTCATGTTGGACTCAGCAGAGAGAGAAAACACTTGTGTGTGCATTTCTAATTTCCTCCGCATCACTGCGAACATAACCTCAAACCAGAGAGAGGAAGATCAGTGAGATGATGATGGAGCAGAAACGTGAAAGTTTAGTTCATGTTCACACTCGGCTGCTTTACCATGAGTGTGTGTTTAAGTGTGTTTGTGTGTGTGTGTGTTTGCGTGTGTTTGTGTGTGTGTGACCGTTTCAACTCGATTTTCTCTCAGATGTATTGACAGCGGCGAGCGGAGATGGAGAGCTCGACATGTTTCTCAGAAAAAGCAGGAGACAGGGAGCCATCACTCTTCTCTTCTCACCACACGTCCCCCCCTCTTCATCCTCCTCCTCCTCCTCCTCCTCACCGCTCTTCTCCTGCGCTGAAGACGTAAGTGCCTTAGACAGATGTCTGCTGCCTCTTGTCTAAAACCCTCAACGCGAGCTGCTGAGCTTGGCAAACTCTAATTAAGATCAATATTTCAATTTTTAGTAAAAGCGCACGAGACGAGAGAAGACAAGAGGGAGAGAAATCATTTGTCCACGAAGACGTAGAGAGACAAAAAGAGAGGTCAACTGTGATTCTTCATCCTCCGAGTATGTGTGTGTGTGTGTGTGTGTGTGTGTGTGTGTGTGTGTGTGTGTGTGTGTGTGTGTGTGTGTGCTGAGGAGAGTGTATTTGACTCTTCTGAGGTTCCTCTGTATTTGTCTCTTTTTCAGATTTTACCCACTCAGTGAACAAACCGAGGTCTGAAACTAACTTTTGATTGACAGGTGGTGAAAGCAGGGCGGTCAGGTGATCCCACAGGTGGTCGGCGTCCGTCTAGAACAGGTACACACTCCAGGATGATCCAGACTTTTTTTTACATCCAGAATGATGACGTTGAAGGACAGAGGCGCCAGGTTTGAGGACTAATACAGATTGGGGTTCACCTGAAGGACGCCAATTGCAGTGGCGTTTGCAGTGGCGTAGGTCGGCCCTGCACCCTCAGCAGCCATGTTGACCATCTCCTCAGACATCCGCCCTTTTTTTTCTCCTCAATGCGTGATCGACTGCTGCACGTTTATCAGCTTCACCTCAAATCTACTAAACTTTAGGATTTAGTTGCCATGGTTACCTGTAAACAAACACAGCAAGAGAAGAAAGTGTCAATATGACGAGCATTTACGTCACACTGCCATCTAGCTTTTTGGTGGAGTATTGCGGACGAACGAGAGGCCCGATCCCAAACCGCCCCCTACACACTCACCCTTCTCTCAGGGTATGGGACGCCCTCCTCACTACAACGGAAAACAGAAAGATTCATCGCCATAGCAACACAAAGACGTGTCCTGTGCATGGCAGCGTTTCTTTTCTTAGTAAACGGGCATCATGTTCAGTTCTGATCCACTCCTGCTGCCTCGTTTTTTCATTTTCCAAGTAAAATCATAAATCCAGTTTTCATCACAGTGACAGAAGAAGAACTATACTTCTGATTGTTCGTGATTCCACACGTCTTTGAACCCTTTTACTCTTTGACATGAGCCTGACCAATCAGATCAAACATCGGCACAGAGTAAGATTTTTGAGTTTCCATTTAATCTTTCCAAACCACGTCTTTTGTGATATTTTTTTCTCAGTAAGACAAAGTTGGACACATACAGGACTTATATTTTATATGTTTTTTCCTCCTCCTCTTTCATTTTTGCCGGCGCACTACCTGCAAATCCTGTCATGAGTGTGCACAGGTACAGACTCACTATTGAAGGGCTGAACGGTCCACTCACCCTCCTCACTCTGTGGTTTGGGACGGCCTTCAATATGGCGGAGGGGAAGTGTGTAGAGGGCGGTTTTTTTGTCTCCACAGCAGAGTTTAAGTTCTTATGGGTCAAATCTAGACCTGTGATTGGATGTTCAACCACTGCAGCAACACGGTTCCTGGTTCTCTGACTGCCTGATAGTGTTGTGTCATTCACGAACGATTCGTTCAAAAGAACTGAATCTTTCAAGTGAACGTACTGAACCGAATCACTTCCTCGAGTGATTCGTTCGTTTCTCACTTCAGTTGAGCTGAAGTGAGAAACAGCATGACGTCTGAAATAATCGCATGAAAAAAACGCTCCCGGTGTGTAAGGACCTTTATAAACAAGATCATTTTTACAAACCTGTTTGCCAGAGAAACACAGACAAACACTCTTGTCTCCCGGTCCCAGAAGCTCTGATCTGAACTGAATCCTGAACCGTTCAGCTGTGTGTCAGCTCAGGAGGTCGGAGTCGCAGGCTTCTCCCGCCAAACGCTACATGATTCAGTGATTTAGTGAACGAATCTTTTTAGTGAACTGATTCTAGTGATTCAGTACATCTAAAAGAACTGCCGTGCCCATCACTACTGCCTGAGTGCATGAATGGCGGTCTCTTCCGCCCAATGACAGCCTGAATACCCTCTGATAAAGTCAGTCTACAGTTAGACGCCCGTGTTCCTGTCTTGTTTTCACTCGGTCTGTTGCTCTTATCAGTTCTTCTCTGGTGAACAAACATGATTTCTTTACAGCTTCATACATGTGATGAAACTCTGATTCCTCAGTAAGCCTCAGTGTTAACTTCTCTGTCCGTGCACACGTGTGTGTGTGTGTCACATCCCCGCACAATTAAAGCTGAATCCTCCACGGCAGCATTAGTGGCTTAACAGCGCTAACAAAAACCCCTCCAGGCCTGAGATAACCCTGAGCCACCTCCCAGAGCCCGGCTGGAGGATCTAGATGCCGGCTACCTTGACTCAAAGCTCGCCTCACGCCCGGCTCAAAGCGCCCGTCGATCCTCCACCTTGCTGATGTCCATTTTGCTTAAATCGAGAGAACTGCACTTGCAGCGAAGTCTCAATATGCAAAGGCACAATGAAAACCCTGACTTCAAAAATTTATGTCTCAAGCCCCCGGCCGCAGACACTCCCCTTCCCCTGACAATGAATGGACCACAGCAGATCTTCTTAAACGTTTCAATGCAGAATGCTTAGCTCTGCGTTTACGGACCAGCTCCTGCTTATTTGATAAAAAAAGAAAGAAACCTCTAATGACTTAGCGCTACTAAACTTCAAATACCTCGATATGATTTCCATCCCTTCATCTCCTACTCTTCTTTTCATCCTCGCCAGCAGATTTGAAGAGGAGGGGGGACGCGTATTTCATGGCCATTCGGACTGGAAGTTAAGCTCAGCAGCTGTGCAAGGTTTTCCTCCTCACATCTGACCAAGTTAAACTTACAGCCACCTGTTTTTTTCCGCACATCGGCACTTTAAACGCAGATATATCACTCATATATGTGCTGCTAGATGGGACTCAGGGGGGTAACCGCTGCTGCTGAAGAGGCTAAACGGGTCAGGAGTAGAGCTGTCCCGGTTTAAGTCCTGCTCCCATGATACCATCGACATCCTGCCCACCCTCCCCGCCCCCTCAAACCCTCTCCTCCTCCTCCTCCTCCTCCTCCTCTAACCCCAGAAAAAAAAGACATATGTGTCCGGGATGGAGACGCACGGAGGGGCTTAATTATCCGTCGATCCGTGGAGATGAGACTGGATGCAATTTGTGGTTAATTGCGAATGAAAACCCCGCAGACCAGCGCCAGGACCATCCAATCATACTTAACCCGCGCGCAGCCACAGCGGCCTCCTTACATCCTCGCGGAAATGCGCATTGATTTCTGGGTAGAGGGGGGGGCGCGGCCTCAGATCGATCAGTATTGATAGATTTGGTAGTTTGTGGTGTCAGAATCATCCTCGGACTTCTCTTAAAGAGACTTGGATGAGTTTAGTGGATCAAATCAGCTGTTTTTAATACGGAGAAGAAGAGACTCTGAGTTTAATGACAACTTGACAAGAACTTGTTTGGACCTTCTGTCTGTTTTTCTTGTTATTAGACTTTATTATCATCTTTATCGACATAAAACCGTCTTCTTTCAAATGTTTGATTTTACAAAAACACACAAAAATAAAGACAAGTTTAGTTCTGGTTTAGTTGTGCCAGTGTAGGGGAGACCGGGGTTGGTTATCACGCCTCTCATTCTCAGGTCTCATCCATAGACTGTTTATACTTCGTTCCGCCTTTCGCCAGTATACGGGTTTGAAGTCGAATCGCTCTCGGTAATTCTGCGTTTTTTCTCCATGTCCTAAAACCAACATTGTGAAGTAGCGTTGTACGCATTTGGCGGGAGAGTCGCGGAGAGTCACTGTGATGACATTCGGCTCTGACGGCGTTTCCCCCAGGTGAACGATGCAATCTTCGTACGTATTAAGTGTCTAGTAACTACATGTCAACATCGAAACCAGGGGGGAGAAACATTTATATTCTGTGTAATAAATCTCTAAAGTTTGTCCACAGCTCCATAGGGATTGCTGGAGGAGGCGGGATTTATGACCTATACTGCAGCCCGTCACCAGAGGGTGCTGAGGAGGCAGACGGCGTCCATCCTATCTTCAGTCTATGGTCTCCTCATGATCAGAGCGTCTTTTAGAGGTCAGTCAGATGGAAGTTTTTATCAATGAATGATAAACTCTGACAAACAGCAGGATTAGTTTTTTTAAAAGATCTGATGATTTTGATTCTGCCTAATTCTAGGGTGACCATACGTCCTCTTTTACCCGGACATGTCCTCTTTATGGGGGTCTGTCCGGCCTTGTCTGGTGGAGTTTATAAAAACCCTTCATATGTCCGGTGTTTTGTACAGAAGTTTTGAGTTTGTGTCGTGTGGACTTACTGAGTTAGAAGCACGAAAAAAACTCTTAACCCGACCTGAAAAATTTTACCACACGCAACTCCATGACTCTGCCCCCGTGTAATAGTGTCCTCTTTTGGGGAATTCAGAATATGGTCACCCTACCTAATAAGTTTTAAAATCAGTAAAAATCATCATGGTGCTCATCACTGTCATTCACATATGTCTCTGTGTTTGAATTATCACTTCACTTCAACTTTATTATGTCCCAAAATGGACAAATCAGGTTGCAGCAGACACAGACATTTAAAACACTGCCATACATCATAAAATGAAATTAAATACATTTACGTAGAAAACAGTTTAGGAGGTAAAAATCATTAACGATGATTTAGAAGGTAAAAAATAAAAAAGCATATGTCAGTCATACCCATATTTTTGCATGAGCAGAGTGACTAAAATGCAGAAACAAAGTGCAATGTGCTGTTTGCGTACCAATAAAAGAAACACTCAATCTGCTTTCATTTAGAAAATTTAAGTTTTTAATATCATAAAAGTCAAAGTTTTATCGACTATGAACTTTTTATTTTTGTGGGAATGTGTGCAAGAGAATTAGAGAACCATATGAACAGTAACACAGTGTATTTACAACCTCAAATACACCCTGTGTGACCAACCCCGGTCTCCCCTACTGTAAACTGAATTGACTGACAGATTGACAATCATCTGATGATGTTATATCACCTTCACTCATTATAAAGACACCAAAAATCTCAAAGATTTTCACCTTTAAGTCCCTTTTTAAACTCTTTAAATTCCACACACAGTGAGATCATTTTCTGTTCAGGTGGAAACAGACACCCACGCTGACAGCCTCGTTACATAACTCTCAGTGAAAACTCTCTCTCTGTTCTGGGTAAACACTCTTCCTCTCACTTCGTCTTCCTCCTCCTCCTCCTCCGTGCAGTAGCATCTGCTCGGTCACTAGAGGGAGGGATCTGCTGCACCTGTTCTCCCCCCCTGCGCGCTCTGCCGTCTTCGGCTCCACTCGGCTACGCTCGGCTCTGCTGTGGGGGAATGCAAATACGCTCGCTGGTGGTCTCCTCCCATTGGCCCGTCACACCTCTGTGTGGGAGGGTCGAGGGGGCCACGCTGTCTTTATAAAGAGCAGAGTGCCTTCCAGCGTCTCAGTGACACTGCGTGGTTTCACCGTGGAGCTTGTAGAGACACTCTTAAGGGGTGAGAAAGAGAGAGAGAGAGAGAGAGAGAGAGAGAAAACCAAGTGGAATTTATCACCTCTTGCATAATAACGCACACAGCGTCAGCTCACGTCAGGTCAACAACAGCGCGTCCCGGTGAGGGGGGACAGGACCGCGGGGACCGAAGCTGTCAGTGATCCGCAGCTTGATCCAGATATCTGGACTGACCACAGCACCAGGGGACCAGACTCTCCTGTCCCTCCCAGCAGGAGCTCAGCCTGCAGCTTCACTTCTACCCTTCATGCATGAGAACTTTGACAACTTCTGCATTCCACTTTGGATACCCGGGAACACTCTTTTGGAACACTTTTACGCACGTTTTACGCACTGTCGCCCTGTCACTCCTCTGACTGTGGCAGAAACTTTCCCACCCGGGTCATGCTGCAGTGACTCCAGCCTCTCTGTCCGGGACTCCATGATCAAGTTGTAAACAGCAGGAGGCGAAGAAAAGGATGCTGGGAAAATATTTATAACGCACCGAAACCTTTTTCGTGTCACTTGATAATTCGAAGCGGCACCGGGGACAGTAAATCACCGGGAGGCAAGTGGTGCTGCTTGAGGTGAAGCGAGGACAAGACAGGTTGGTGTCTCCAAATTCAGCGGGCTCGAGTTTCAGCCGCCCCGGGGGCTCCTGGTATTAAAGCGTGCATTTGACCTGGGATAAGTTGTCAACAAGAGCAGCGAGCGGAGGCGAACTGGCAGGTGTACAAGTTCATTTACATGCATACGTATATTCACGCCACTATATATAGAAGTTTTCTTAGTGGTGAGCAGCCTTTATAAGTTTGTGCACCCACCCCCCGGCCTGCAGCAGCAGCTCCACGCACCCCGTGTGTGTGCGCGCGTGTGTGTCTGTGTGTGTGTGTCTATATATACACCATACAGGCGGTTGTCCCTCCTCGCAATCTGTATCCCAGCAGAGGGCTGCCCGCCGTCGGTTTGGCTGTGAGGGCAGGAGTCGTCGCATGGACTGACATGGCCACCGACCTCGCCATGAGCGCAGAGCTGCCAAACAGCCCTCTGGCCATCGAGTACGTCAACGACTTCGACCTGATGAAGTTTGAGGTGAAAAAGGAGCCGCCGGAGGCCGACCGCTACTGCCACCGCCTCCCGTCCGGCTCCCTGTCCTCCACCCCGATCAGCACACCCTGCTCCTCCGTGCCTTCCTCGCCGAGCTTCTGCGCCCCGAGTCCCGGCGCGCAGCCCAACCAGAGCCTGAACAGCGGGGTCAACAGCAGCGGCAGCAGCAACAACAGCAGCGGCAACAACAATCACAGCAACGCGGGGAAACCGCAGCTGGAGGACCTGTACTGGATCCCCAGCTACCAGCACCACATCAACCCGGAGGCGCTCAACCTGACCCCGGAGGACGCGGTGGAGGCCCTCATCGGGAACGCGCACCATCATCACCACCACCACCAGGCCTACGAGGGCTTCCGCGGGCAGCAGTACGTCGGGGAGGACCTGTCCGCGGCCTCGGCGGCCCACCACCACCAGGCCCATCACCACCACCATCACCACCACCACGGCCACCACGCCCGCCTGGAGGACCGCTTCTCGGACGAGCAGCTCGTCAGCATGACGGTGCGGGAGCTGAACCGGCAGCTGCGGGGCTTCAGCAAGGAGGAGGTGATCCGCCTGAAGCAGAAGAGGCGCACCCTGAAGAACCGGGGCTACGCGCAGTCCTGCCGCTTCAAACGCGTGCAGCAGAGGCACATGCTGGAGACCGAGAAGTGCACCCTGCAGAACCAGGTGGAGCAGCTGAAGCAGGACGTGGCGCGCCTCGCCAAGGAGAGGGATCTTTACAAGGAGAAGTACGAGAAGCTGGCCAGCCGGACCTACAATGCCGGCGGACCCGCGAACACGAGAGATCCGTCCGGGAAACAGGCCAACACCGACTTCTTCATGTGAGAGACTGAGCCCCCTTTGTAGCATAGACTCTCCCACCTCCACCTCCACCACCTCCTCCACCCTTCTTCATTAATTTATATCCTCTTTTTTGTATTTTTGTTTACAGTTATTCCCTCGACAGAAAAGACTTTAAACACAACATCTCCACAGATACGCGGTTCCGCTGCGGCGCTCAGATCTAACCCTGGTGCGCATTTCAAGTCTTAAAGGTGTGTTGGCTTCATTTCTGTCAGCTGTCAGGTGAGCACGTGGGATCACTTATAGCCTGTACATGATTATGATTTTTATTTCTTCCTCTGATGCAACAGAAGCCGGTCAGTCTTACTGAAACTCTCTGAGGTGATTTTGTCTTAAAAACGAGTGATTTTTAAAAAACTCTGAGAAGAAGCAGAAAAAGCAAAAAAGAGCTCCTCTCTTTTTTTTTGGAAGCAGAGACTGAAAAAGGAGGTGAAGAGACATTTTCAATATTGCAAGTCTATAGTTTCCCATCCCTATTTGCAACCCTGCATGCAGGACATGTATGGTAACCTCCAGTCATCTCCCACAAACATGTATGGACAGCATGGCCCATGGTTCTCCTCCTCTTCCTCCTCTTCCTCCTCCTCTGCCATCAGTAAAGGCCTGGGTATGCAAAAAGTCACAAAATGTGTCCCCCCTTTCCTTCCCTCCTTCCTCCTCCTGAGAGGTGCAAAGACTGCAAACCAACCTGCTCTCCTGCGAAAACTGGATGCGTCTTTCTCTGCTGTTTTCAATCAACTTTTTCTATTTGTTTTCAAAAAGGACAGAAAAACGAACAAAAAGAGATTAACTGAGCCAGATTTTAGACTGTATTTATTTCCACCTGTACATAGACTGACTGTGTAGAGAGAAAAGAAAACACTCCCCTGTCTTCTTTGACCTTTTTCTCCTCTTTTTTCAAGAAAATGCTTTTGTTGCTTGGATTCTTTGAAATGTCTTAATACAAATGTTTGTATGTTACAGCATGCAAATCGTCTATGGTATCCTTCTCCTCCTCCTCCTCCTCCTCTTCCTCCTCCTACTGAACATGTGTAATGTCAAAGGCAAGCCTATACTGCACTAAGAAGAGATCAAACTGGAGAATAAGAATCATAATAATAATAAAGAAGACGAAGAAGAAGAAGCGTTTTGTTTTCTACATTTGAGGTGAAAAAACCTCCTTTATTATTAAACGAACATGGACTGCATTCGCTGCTAAAACTCTATGCACCAACCTGAAGATAAACAGATTTTCTTTTTTATTTCTACTTTGAGTTATTTGTGGACTAAAGTGTCTGCAGGCCCCGCGATGATCTAGTGTCTGATTGGAGGATGCTTGGTTGTTGGAGAACAGGTGGCACAGCTGACTCTCTCTCTGTCTCTGTCTCTCTGTTTCTCTGTTTCTCGGAGGATGCCGATGCATTATTCTGTCCAGAAATCCCTGGTTCGTGTGTTTTCTGCTGCCTAGATATATGTGCAATATTGTGCAGAAGTGTTGGACACCCGGAGGAGACACTCAAAGATCGAAAATCCACCTTCATATTTTATAAAACCCCAAAATTTAGAAACAGGAGAAACAAATCTGCAAATAAATCTGTCTGCATTGATTCTTATTTCATTTTCTTCAATTTTGACCAATTTTTCCCAAAAGTATCCATGTGCGTAAAAGTCGCCAAATAACGAGACGTAAAAAAAAGAGGAAAGCAAACTTCTGCACAGTGCTGTTAATGTATATCTGTACATATGATTTCTATATTTATTCAATGAACGTGTCCTAAACTGTCAACAAGTGAGAAACCTACAAAGTGGAACGTTGTTGAGAATCTTGTTTTCATAATGTTTAATAAAAAGTTCTGTCCCAAAATCTGTCAGACTGTCTGCGGCTCAGTCTCTTAAACTCACTGAGAATTAAATTAACAGAGGGGGAAAAAAAATACAGTTTTTATTATTTTTAAGGAGAAAAAAGAGTTTCTGTTTGTGAGGAAATGAAGCGCAAATGTGTGTTTGATTTTAAGTTTGAACATTTCTCAGATTTGATATAAAATCAGTCTGATAAAACAAGTTTAAAATAATTATTATTGACCAAAATATCTGTTTTTATTTTTTAAGATAAATATTTTTAACTTCGGTACATGTTTCCAGTGACAAATTTGTCTTTTTAAAAACCAAAATATCCAAATAAACGGCGTGTGTTTGAAGTAGAAAATCTAAATGAATTATATTTTATAAAAATGCAGATTAAATTCCCTAATTTTATGTTTTCGTTACCAATATTTTTTGGAGAGTTTCCGAGCGTAAAGGAATCCAAAAACGCACAGAGACACCGAGCTTTAATTTCTAATATTACTCTCATTATTATTATTATTATAACTGTAATTTTAATTTTCCTAAATAAACCTCCGTTAGATTATTTTATTCTATCTCCTTTATTTCTTGTATTTCTTCTCCATTTTTATTTAATAATTTTCATATTTAATATTTTTTCTTCTCGGCTGTGATTCTTCTTCTTCCTTTTCTGTCAGAGGGTCAGTTTGTTCGAGGTTTTTGTTTCAGACCGTGAATTTCTCCACATGTGTGTCTTTGTTGGAAACATCCGCACAGAGGCGGACACTCCCGCTCCGCTGCCCGGCTCCGGCCGCCTATCAGCCGGCCTCGCTGCGCCTCAGCAGCCGGTGACGGATGGATGAACCCGGCCTGCCTCCTCCTCCTCCTCCTCCTCGGTAGATAAGTTCATCTCTGTCTCACTGACTTCATGTTTACAGTCTATCCATATAGGAGGCTTCGCATGATACCTCGCATGTCCACTCTGTGTGCGCGCGCTCGTGCACGCGCCCTAAGCTGCATTAAGTGCTCTCCTTCCTCGTGGAAACAGAAGCAGCAGCAGCAGCGGGTTGAGACAGATGATGCCACCCCGTGTTGGTGTCGATGTGACACCGCCGTCAGGGCCTCTGTGTGTGTGTGTGTGTGTGTGTGTGTGTGTGTGTGTGTGATGTTCCTCACAGATCTGCAGCTTCTTCTTTTTATTCTCGCCTGTTTGTGTGTTTGCAGCTGTGATTGTCTAAATTTTCTCTCCTGAAGTTCTTAGTTTATGTAAAGAATAAGAAGCTGCAACAGAAATGAGAAAATCTGATTTAAAATCAACATTTTTGATGCAGATTGTCAGATCAGCGACTCCAAAAGCGTGCACGTTTTTGCAGTTTTATTTATTTACAGTCCAGTTATTTGACTTTTGCAGATCATTTTCTCATGTGTGTGTAAAAGAGCAGGCTGAGAAGATGGGGAAGTGTCATTACTTTCATTATTATGTCAATTTTATAAACTCACAATCATCTAAACCTTCAAAATAATTTCATCCTCACAGAAATTTTAATTTTTTTTCAGTCATCTTTGTCTCTTTTTACTCTTACGTCTTAATTCCACTAAATACCGACTAAAGATCATGAGGAATCTTTGTGCATTTTATTCACCGCAGTCGTGTGTGTGATAGACTTTCAAACATTTGTTTTATTTTGCAGTAAAAATGATGCATCAGTCTGTTTTTTTTCAGCCTTAAAATGATTCGTTTTTACCTCATGAGTGTGTTAGTTTTGTACTTTTCATGAATGTTTCCGTTTACTCACAGGTTGTTTTCATTTAATCAGAACACTATAACGTCTAACTCAATAAGAAGGAACCTGATGTGCTGCTGATATAGTTTGATATCAATATATAGTTATATCTGAGTACAAAGAATCGGGTTAACACTCAGTAACATTTTAATTTTCTTCACATTTCCTCTCCTTCTCCTCCTTCCTCCTTCTCTGCCTCTTTCAGCCCCTCCATCACTTTCCTCCTCCTCCTCTTTTTGCTGACTCAGAGGAAACATGGAGCAGTGTGACAGCCGTCACCTCACACACACACACACACACACACACACACACACACACACACACACACACACACACACACACACACACACACACACACACACAGAGTCAGAGAGTTTACACACATTCAGAGCGAGTGTGGAGGAATGAAGGGAAAGGTCTGTGTGAGAGACGGAGGAGGATCAGCGCGTCTGCTCTCTCTGTGGGCTTTTCTCTCGATAAATCAGGGCCGAGTTTGTCCACGGCTGCATCGTCTGAGAGACAAAACAAGAGAGAGGAGGAGAGATAGAGAGAGAACAAGAGAGGGAGAGAGAGAGAGGGAGCGAGAGTAGGAGAGAGAGTAAGAGAAAGGAGCAGTGTGTCTCTGGCGTCTGGAGCTGCTGCTGCTGCTGCTGAGATTCAACACAGTCAGCGTCTCTTCGGCTCAGCTTACCTACAGTATACCTCCACACACACACACACACACACACACACACACACACACACACACACACACACACACTCAAGCCCATCATAACACAGAGTCCAGACAAACTCTGCAGCTGAAGGATCCTGATGCTTTTAATGAGACTGATGAGAACTTCAGGTTGATGTTTGATCCTGATGCAGATCCTCATTTTAGCCTCTTTTCATATATTCACACTTTTTATTATTTTTCAGTATAAATAAAACTAAAACTCCTCTGCACAAGTATTTATTCTGCTGTTACTTTGATCGTCAAAAATACGACAAACATTTGATTCTGACTCAAATTAAAGATCGTTTATTTAGTTTCTGTTCCAGACGATGGCTCTCAAGATGCAACATAAAGCTTAGAGTTGGTGCAGGATGCACCATGTTTGCAGCCTTAAATATCAACTGGAACTGTGCAGAAATATTGAGCATCCTCTTTTCCCAAAAACTTCTGGTGATGTTATTTTGTGTTGTTTGTTTGTCAGTCTCTCTGCGAGTTTACAACACAGACCTGTGCATCACAGGCAAACCAACAACCATGCATGAAGTATAAGACCTGCTCTTCATCCCAACAAGACAAAAAAGGTCCGAGCTCGAATACTTTCTGATGCATGAACCTTGATGGAGGCGTCTTAGCGAGTAGCAGTCCTGTAGGCATTTTAATTAAGAGAGAACTTATGTCTGCAGGAACCAAAACAGAGTACTGAACCCTGGTACTGAAGGAGCTGGTTCCTCATGAGTGAAGTTACAGGAATGGTTTGAGGTGATTGGACAATCAGTCGTCCCGCTGCCACAAGTCACAAGTCACAAAAAAAAATCACAAGTCACTCTTAGGACTGGAAATCTTGTAAAATGTTAAACGTAGAGTGACCATATTCTGAATCCCTCCAAAAAAGGACACTACTACACAGAGTCACAGAGTCGTGTGCAAAATTTTGAGGGTTTTTCAGGTTGGGTCGAGTGTTTTTTTTTACGTTCTTCTAACTCAGTTACTCCATGCTACACAAACTCAAATCCTCCGTACAAAACTTCGGACATTTGAAGGATTTTATAAACTTTCCTGGACAGACCGGACAACCCCCCAAAAAGAGGACATGTCCGGGTAAAAGAGGACATATGGTCACCTTTGTAAAACGTGGCTTTAAAGCAGGAAACAACGTAGTGCTAATCGTCATGCTAGCTCATCTCAGTTTTGTTCAGTTTTATCAGACGTTTCCTGTATTAACTATTGTTGCCATGGTTGCATTTATTAATGTCTTCTTCAGTAAGCTTGCTTCCTGATTGGCTATCGGGTCACTCGTTAAACACGTCACTCCACAGAACAGTCTGATAATCGGGTCTTTGCTGACTTTCGTTGGAGGAGGGGAACCGGTCCTAAAATTGGCGCCATGATCTTGTGGTGTGTTTCCTACTTTAGGGCTGCGTTCAAACTTTTGGAAACTGTTGGACAGTTGTTGGTTTTTGGTCCTGATGAAGTAGGGTGACCATACGTCCTCTTTTACCCGGACATGTCCTCTTTTTGGGGCTGTCCGGCCTCGTCTGGGGCGGTTTATAAAATCCTTCAAATGTCTGCGGTTTTGTGTGGAAGTTTTGAGTTTGTGTCGCGTGGACTAACTGAGTTAGAAACATGTAAAAACACTCGACCCGACCTGGAAAAATCTCAAAATGAACTACGCTCGACTCTGTGACTCCGCCCACAGGTAGTCAAGTCCTCTTTGGGGATTCAGAATATGGTCACCTTCGCTGAAGTCGACCAGGTCCTGAAATTTTAACAGATTCAGTTTGACGAAGACGTGGTTTGTTGGAGCTCTGATGGCTCTTCGTCTCTGTTTCTATAGAAATCATAAAAATTTCCTCTCTCGTAGATTTTTTCTCCTCCAGTAGAATTTTTCTCTCCTGCTCCAGTTAGGCGCCGTCTCTCCCGGGGGGAAAGTGTTCAGCTTCAAAAAGTTGTCACCCTGCGCAAAACGTAATCGACATTTTTGATAAATCACCTGCGTGCTGTTAACGCTCACAGGGTATTAATAATTATTACTCCTGATCTGGTGATTGAGTTAGTGACCCCGGGGCCGGGAGCCTCACAGAGCCCAGAGGGGAGGGGAGGGGAGCGATGGAGGCCACCGCACCTTCTCTGCAACCGGTCCGGGAAAGCAATTTGGCGCCGGTGACGCCGCACGGCTGCTGCTGCGACCCCGGAACACACACACACACACACACACTGAGAGAGAGAGAGTCTGACACGCTGCGTGCTGAGTAGACAAATTCAAACATGCTATCACAGGAGAAAAAATGCCCAAACAGCAAATCTAAGTGGGTCCCGTTCTTTGAAAATACAGTAATAAACAAACTGAACAGCCAACAAACAAATAAACGAGAGCGGCGACGGCGGCGCGATGATGTGCTGATCTCTAAACGAGTAGCAGGAGGAGGAAGTGTGTGTGTCACAGAAAATGGGACACATCTCAGCTGAGAAAATGAGCTCCTGATGGTTCCTGTTGACGTAAAAAAAACGGTTATTTACTGTTTTATGTAGAAGTGTGAGGACGCTGTTAGAACTGGGTATTTACACAGTGTGTGTGTGTGTGTGTGTGTAGTTTCAGCTCATTGTTGTTCCCGCTGCCAAGAATTCACTTAAATTTCCTTCACGTTCTTTCGTTTCATGTCGACGACGGCGATCACGAGGCGATTTACTGAGTCGACTTTTTTCAGGAGGGCTCGAGTTCCTGCTGAATCCTCCAAACTCACACCATCACCTCCATTCATGTTTCACTTCCCCATCTCACTCTCTATGTGTGTCTGTGTGTGTGTGTTTCAGTGTGTGTGTGTGTGATTCAGCACTTTGCCTAAATCATCCAGTCATTGTTTCTTTTTTCGTCTAATGGTGTCACAGGTCACGGCGGCGGCCTCCCCCTCGTTTGTTGGTTTGAGGCTGCGGTCTGTGGTCACACTAACGCACACTTGTACACACACTTACACACACACACTGTGAGTGCTGCAGGTGCACACATGCTGTTGACCAGATGAGTGTGTGCAGTAATGCAGTGGAGAGGACTGTCCTCAGTGGCAGTGGAGGGTCAATCGACAATCAATTATTCCACTCAGCCTGGCCTGCAGCCATACCACAGACTCACACACACACACACACACACACACACACACACACACACACACACACACACACACACACACACACACACACACACACACACACACACACACACACTCTAGATCACAATCAGAGAGTCTCCACAATCACACTCCTTCAGATTTAAGATCAGACTTTACTCGATTAGAAATAAAAGCTCTTACAGTAAAGCGTAAAGCGTTAATCTCCCTGTTTAAAAAAAAAAAACATCACGTCTGTTTTTTTCCCGGATTTTGAGTTTCGGTTCAACTTTTCAGGTTTCTCTGCGTCAGTCCCTGATTTTTAATCTCTGACGTTTCCTGAGCTGAATCAGCCGTCATAATCGACTGTAAAATCACACACTGGTCTTTAGTCTAACTGGAACTATGCAAACGTGGACATTTAGACCTTCACTTCACTGTTCTCATGGCAATGATACTAGTATTCCACTATTGGTTGCGCCATCTGGTGGAGAAGACAATTTAAGAAGATAACTTAAGGTTGTTAGACACCGACAAATTAGCAAAGTGATGCGAAAAAGTAACGTGGAAATGCGAAGCATTCGGTTTACGCCTTTTCCTCTACACACCTGGTGCAACACAAACAAAATTCACATATTCGCATAAAAATACGCCGCAGGAGAACAGAGGGGGAGAGAGAGGAAGGAGAAACAATGGCGACTTTATCCTCATGATGACCTGGTCATGGTTGTAAACTTATAAAATAACAAAAAGAAAAAGAAGAATCGACGTGTCCGGGTACATCCAACACTGACCTGATGGGGGAGCTCCACACAACGATCCAGGAGCTCAAATTGAGAAAATCTGACAATACTTCAGACAATTTCAAGAACTGCTCCATCAGCTGACTCCACGTTTGCAGAAGAAGAGGACAAATTACAGAGAGATAATTGATCCAGAGTAAGGCCTTGTATTTTGATCGGCCAGAGGTCTAGAAGTTCGCCTACGAATGTTTGTGGAACTCACTCGTCGCTTTTTCTCTCTCTGGAAGTTCATAGCCGGTGTGGAAGCTTGCATTGACTTAATGAGGCTTTAAAAATAAGCAAATTATTCGCTTCGTAAATCTGC